TAAAACAGAAGTTTGCATCTTTATCCTTTTGTCTGTCAATTAATAAGAAAATAGTCTCATCTTGCTAAAATAAGGCAAATGTAATAGTTAAAATTCAATAAACTTATAAAAAGTTTAAAGTAGCATCAAGTACTTGCCATAAACATGACAAAAGAGTCATCTTTAATATATGGAAAGTCTACAAAATTCATCAGAAAGATACCAAGGCTTGGATAGGTAAAAAAAAAAAAAAAAGGCAGATTACATACAAAGTAAAATCACAGAAAAGGAAATGCAAATGGCTACTAAGTATGTGAAAAATGTGTATCTTAACAATGATCAACTTTAATCTGTGTCCAATCAAGAGAGAGAAACTACACAGAAATTTAAAAAGGGGACATTTAGTATAAGGAATTATTAAGCCATGATAGGAGAGGAACTAAAACATGGAAAGAGAACTCTAAAGGGTAGCCTAAGTCTGAGGAAGAGTGCTCCAAAAAGGAAAAGCTAGGAAGGAAGCATTCAAAATTCACTGGAGAAGGTATGTTTGCAGCCCACTAGATAGAGAAGTTTACTGGTTACCCAGACCAGAGCCGGGCCACAGCCACAAGGCAAGCAGAAACAACCCTCCGGGGTACAGACCAACTTAGGCAGGTGGCTAGGTGTGTAGAGAGACTTGGGACTTTGCTGCAAGTGCAAGGCTCAGATCATATTGGGTCTGTGTCTAGAGGTCCCCAGGAAACAGTTTGGGGGATAGGTAAGCTAATGTGGAAGGGCAAGCACAAAGATGGAGTCAGGGTTACTGCTGCAGTTGCTGCTAGGACTAGGAGCTAGAGGGTCCTCCTTTAAAGGAACCTGGTACAACTCTGTGTGTGACATGGGCTGTGGCATTTTCAGAGCTTCATGGGACAAAGGTTGAACAAGTGACTCACTAGATGGCCAGCCTCACAGGGCCTTCTCTGGGAGCATAAACCTATTTGAAGAGAAGGTGCAGAGAGTAGTGATTTAAGCTAGGGCACAGGCCTGCAGTGGGGCTCCAGGCTATGCCACCACAAACCAAATCAGAAGGAGAAAAAGGGGTCGGGGGGAGTAAATGCTAGAGAAAGCTGCACCCTATAGGCAGCTAGCACTGCAGAAACCATGCTGGGCAGAGCAGTTGAGAAAAATAGTCAGTTTCCCAGGAGGGCGGCCCTAGGAATCAGGAAAGACCAACTTCCTCCTATAATGCTTCTTCAGTGCCCTCTACTGACAAAGCGGGACACGCGAGCTGCAAAGAAAACATATTTAAAGGGTCCATATCCATTTTACAGAGCTGACAGCCAAGAATGAATTTGGAGTACAGAGGCAATAAAATAACCAGCATGTCATCAAAACACAAAGTAAAGAACAGTGAAATACACTTTTGGTCTATTTAGTAAAAATTAAGAAAAGATAATACTATTTGACAAATTATAATGAGATGAGCTCTCAAACTTCTGGTATATAACTTTCCTTGAAAACAATTGAACCATAAGCTCATCCTATAATTCTACTTCTAGGATCTTATATTTAAATAATCAGACATACAAAGACAGTATGAAAGATACTATATTCCTATTTTTTGTGATAAAAGGAAGTAAATAGCCTAAATGTTCAAAAATAGAAAGATTAAAGAAGGAAAGATTTATCCATATAATGTTATGCAGCTATTAGAATTGTTTCCAAATAAATTTTAATTATAGGAGTAAATTCTCCATATATATCTAAATAAGAATATATAAATATTCCCAAATATTTACAATTCATAAAATGTGTTTTTATACATGTGCAAACACTAATATTTGTGCATACAACTCGCAAACTGAAAACAACATGTATATGTGGTTATGTCTAGTTTGCAGAATTATGGCTGATTTATTTTTTAAAAACTTTTCTGTGCTTTTTAAATATTCTCTAATGAACATGTTTTACCTCTTAAATCAGGAAATAGGAAAGTTATGATTAAAATGTTACCAACAGAAAGTAGCAAACACATGCAAACACAGTTCTACCAGATGCAAAAAAAGTTTAAATTATTTAAATGAGACATTAACATCACTCATGTAGTAGTTTTAATATATATCCATAAAGCCTTTGATGCTCCTTTCAAGAGGTTTAGCCAATTTTGCACATCTTGTAAATGGATTAGACTTAGTGATTCCACTCTAATAAATAGAGGAAAGCAGAAGTGACAGCTTGCAACTTTGGAGATTAGATCATGAAAGTTGCTGTGGCGTCCTTGCTCGCTCTCATGGATCACTGGCTCTGGAAAAGGCCACCTGCTATGTCCCTGGGGAAAGGAATACATGACAAGAATGGAGACCTTTTGCCAAAAGCCAGAAAGGAATTGAAACCTTCCATCCTCAGCTGGTTGAGCAGGCCATGTGCTAGCTCTAGTCAAATCTTCAGGCAACTACAGCCCTGTCTAATAGCTTGACTACAACTTCATGAGAGACCCCGAGCCAGAAAATTCAGCTAAATAACTCCTGGATTTTGATCCTCGGAAACTGTGTAAGACAAGAAATGTTTGTTGTAGTATGCTGCTAAATTTTAGAATAATTTACTTCACAGTATATAACTAATACAATTTTTGAGACAAAAATAAGTTCACTTTAGACTCATCTTTGCTTAATAGAAGAATATAACCTTTTGTCACAAAACTAGTTATCCTTGCTTTAGATGGTTTGGATATGTCACCACCAGTTATATAGTAGTTCAAATTCAATTCCAGCTACTGTTATACCTATTAATCGTAGAACACCTGTCACATTCATCTTTGTATCCTTTGCTGTATTTAATGTTGTGTCTTGTGTATAGAATGTGCTCAATAAAAATCAATTGAATAAAGGACTGGATGAATTAATGAGTGAATAAAAGAATGAGTAAGTGAATTATCTGAAATATTTTTTTGTAAAATCCCTTGTATATATGCCTCCTTTTTCACAGATTTGACCTAGCAGCTGAAGAAGTATGTATAGAAAACCATATAGAAAAGATTCTATATGGTTTTCCCTAATATGATGGAATATTTTATTATCTCTTGGTTATATGAAATATTCAGTTAAACAGTGTTACTGTGGAATTTTGTTTAGGGCTGTTCAGATTGGTTTCAGGAACTGAAGGGGAAAGACATCCATTTACAAGGCAGTTGATGTTGGCAGGTGTAATTATTATGTTAGTATATCTACATATGAAAGGAAATAAAAGAACAAGATGCAACTAAAGAGGGCAAAACCCTACAATGGCATCCATTTGGCTTTTAAATTAATACTAATAGCTAACACCTATTAGATCGAGCCATTTGAAATGGTCAATATTTGACCTGAAAAGCAGCAATATCATATTGTTTAAACTGATAGCACTTACCATTCATCAAGCACTATTTTAAGTGCTTTACATATATCAATTCATTTAATGTCTATCACAGGCCCAGGAGGAAATCACTCACCCTAATTTTGTAGATGATGAAAGTAAGCCATGAAGAGAGAGGTAAAGAGATTTGTTAAAGTTTTCAGTACAGGAGCTGGGGAGGATTTGAAGCTACGGCTCCAAAATCCACACTTTTAACCATTGTGGCCTCACCCTAAACTACTCTCCCTCAATTTGGCATTCTTATGTGACCTCATTTGTAAAATGGGAATAATAGTATCTACGTCATGAAATGGTTGTAGGTGTTATAGGGATAATACATGTAATAATACCATACAATAATAATACGTGGCTAGCATTTTACACAAAAGCATGTGGTGAATATTAGCTGTCATAATTAAACTACAATATGTCCTCACCCATCATTGCAACCCTATCTTCCACTAAGTCTTATGCTCACAGCTTACCTTAATTCTTATCTTAAAACTAGCCAAACTAACTCATTCACCATTCCTCTAAACACCTCACACTCTACCACATCTCTCTGTTGAAGCCATGCTCATTGTCTAGTCCTTGACCGGAGTCACTTCTTTCATGACCTCTTCTGATCTATGAGACAGTGTGTGATCTCAAACTCCTGTGTACCACATTATCACTTAACTCTGCTCTTGTGACAATGGAAATTTGAAATTTACCCATTATTATAATTCCTTATGTGTTTATATTTTACGTGAACTTACTAGTGATCTGGTCTTATCATATTCATGCTATTCCCTGAAGCACCTAGCAGTGTATTAAATGCAATATGTACTTAACATATATTTATTGGATTTAACTTGCTAATGTATAGAAACATGTTGAAACCACTGGAGTGAGGAATACTATTTAAAATCAAGTAAAGAGAATTAAATTATTTTATCTAATCAAAATAATTAACTTATTTAGTAAACACTAAAATATTACTACTTGCTTTTTATTACTCCCCCGCAAAATCTGGAAAAGTACAAATAAGTCCAAATAATAAGTTCTTTACATCATTTACACCAAGATTTCCAGGAAAAAGACTGCTATTACAAATCATCGCTGAAAGCTCAAATTGATAGAAATATATTAGGACCCCTTGGTTCCAATGTCTGCATCACATGTATAGGATAAAGATGAAAGGCAAACAGTTTTGCAGGTAACTTTATTATAAAGTACATTTCATTCAATTTATCAATAATCATTTTTAGTAGCAGCATAGACAAGAACTCCATTTATACTTGGGGTCTTTTCTCTCTGGAAACCTAATAACCAGTTCCCAGTAAATGTGGCAGCCTTTTACAACTACCTGAGGCTTTTCAAAGGCCCCTTGATTTCATAGTTCTGTTGCTGCTTCTAAGAACCAGGAAGCTTAGGGAGGGAAAAAAGAATGAAAGTGGATTGTATGAGGGTTACAATAAGCAGATTTCTCTGTTGAATAGGAAAGGGGAGATCTAGTGTAGACTCTTTAGTGTTCTTGAATAACATTATAATTAGCTGAAAAATTATTTTGTTGGTTATTATTTTATTTTGAATATTTGACATGTGTTTTCTTATTCATGAAAAATAAAATGCAGATCTCAGCAAAGATCCTACATTGACATTTGCTGGGATCATTTGCTTCCCAAAAGAGACTGGCACTTTTCGATCAGTTTGGACTCCTACGAAAAAAAGCAAATAAGCACATCTGTGAGAGAAGGAGGGAAAACAAACAAACAAAAACACCTAAACAGCTATGATCCCCAAAGAGAAAATATTTACAACCTCTCTGTTGTATGCCTGAGTTGGCTTTAATGACCTTGTTTCTCAAGGTCATAGAATTTCTCAAAGGCTTGATGATTTAATTAACTGCAATGTCTCCTCTATTTTCAGGACCCCAGATTTGGAATAAATAAAAATTTGCTTTCTTCTCACAAAAATATGGAACTCTTTCGCTGCAGGGTAAAAACGAACAATCAGCATCAGCTTCTCACTGAATTTTAAAACCGTTCTAGGCTAATTCCAGGCTAAATCATCACATAGTCAGGTACAGGGACTCAAGAGGAAGAAGCCACTAAAATAAATTAGAGTATCTCTCTACCCTCTTCATACATACTGCTATAGACCTCTACATCACTTCCAGCAGTTTTCCCCAATTTTTACCTGTATAGTCATTGTTCAAATAAAAATCATTTGTGGAAGCCAAGATAGATAGATAGATAGATAGATAGATAGATAGATAGATAGATAGATAGATAGATAGATAGATAGATGATAGATAGATAAAAGTGAGATTTTAAGCAAACCGGAAATGAGACCTCCAGAACTCCACATGCACGCATGTGCACGCACATGCGCGTGCACACACACACACACACACACACACACACACACACACACACACATTCTGAGGGATAGATGACTTATACTCTTAAGAGCCCTTATGATTCTTTGGAAAATGATTAGAAGTCTATCAATTTAATCCTCCTTTTTACCCTCAAGCAGTACTATCCTAAATTATCTAGAGAGAGTAGAATCTATGTAGGTTCATTTTAAAAATGCCTCTAGAGTTTAATGTACCCTAGGTTCTTTGGTAACTCAGACTTTTTAAACCAATCTTCATGGGTCTTCATGGGAAATTTTTCCTTAAGCAATCACTAGACCCTTATATTTAATCTTGTTCATTTTCTCTGAACTGAACAATAGTGGAGGAAGTCATATTTCTCCATGTCAGTCCTTCCTGACTTCATTTATTCCATAGTTCTCTGGTAAATTTCTAATTTGTCATGCTAGCAAGTACTGGGGGAAAAAAAGAGTTTCTGATAAAGCTAAGGTAGAAGGAATGCATTATAATAATAAGGACTGCCCTGCATGAAATAAAAAATGACAATAACTCTACATCTTGATGTGAGGCCCAAGCAAGATTTTGAAATACAAAACATGAACTCGTATGATAGAATGCAGATAACAGAGAGAAGAAAGAGGAAATATGTTCCATATGTTGAGACCAAATCAGTCACTCTTTGATTCACTGTAATTCTGGGCTTTGTTAGGAGACTGCTAACATGTCACCTATCCTAAGACTTTTGGATAAACATTGCCAGTTTATTTCTCCATATCCCTCGGGATGTGCTTTTCAATCCTTTTTTTCATTCTAGATACTCTTTGGACATGATGATTTGCCAATACCCTTTTAAAATGTGTTGTCTCTTATCTCTTCCAAAATTCTAATGCAATAACAATAACAATATACAAAAAAAAACTATCACTAAAAAGAAAAATCTTCATCAATGAATGACTTCCGGGTCTTTTATTGCTGGTGCATCTATTCATGTTACTTTTCTGAGCTCCTATTTCTGCACTTTGGAAGATTGGTTAATATCATACCAATGGTTTTGTTTTTATTTTTCCAGAAGTTTATCAATATCTCTTACGTTGATGGAGATTTTTCTTTTTAGTGATAAGTTTTGTTTTGTTTTGTTTTGTTTTTGTATATTTTTATGGTTATTGCATTAGAATTTTGGAAGAGATGAGAGACAACACATTTTAAAAGGGTATTGGCAAATCATCATGTCCAAAGAGTATCTAGAATGAAAACAAAGGATTGAAAAGCACATCCCAAGGGATGTCTACTGCACAGCCTGTTTTTCAAAAGATTCCTGTTTTTCAAAAACTGCCTAAAGATTCCTGAAGCTGCCACTATCCTTTCAATAAACTAATTTTTACTTAGGTGAGCCAGATTTTGATCCTATTATTTACAGCTAAAGAGTCCCAACTGACATACCAGATAAAATGCTATGCAAATATATGAACAAAATAATATTTACAAATGCAAGGACCCAGAAAGTTTATATCCCATGTGCTCATTATGGAAAAATACACACATCCATACATACACACATATAAATGCAGGCCAAGAAAACTTAAAAGAATCCAAGAAAAAAGACAAATAGGATTTTAGAAATAATAAAATTTACCCAAGATTACACTGAAAAGAAACCCCATGTGGACAGCCATGAATCAGTTCTAGAAACTATTAGATCCAAACTGAAAGATTAAGTCAGTTTTATATTTCTAAATGTAGCTTTAAGAGGAGAGAATATTCTATTACAAAAACTATATGATTAAGAATCTGAAATATTTTAGTGGTGTGATTAAAGTAGGTGCTTTATTTGTCAACGAGAAAAATGAAAGGCAATTAGAAACTCTCAAAAAAGAAGGATACACTAAGAAATTATAGTCCAAATGTGCAAAACTAAATAAATATGGCATGTTTTTCTACATTTGATAGTAGCTAAGAAAAGACACTTCATTTAATCTTGACACCCTTTAGGTGTACAGAATAAGTCATTAACTTATTGGTCAATTCATTCACAGTATTGCTGTAAATAATATTCTAAGTAAACACACTATTGAATATACTATTTAATGGTTTCCAGTTTTTTGCATCAATCTATTAACAAAGCACATAAACCTTATATTTACAAAGCAGGATGAATAAACCCAGACAGTGTAGAAGTAATGTATAGCTTTAAAAAGGAAACCTGGCAAAGAAATCAAAAGAAATTTAGACATGTTAATTATGTTTTAGAGAATCATCAGATGCTGACTGAAGTTGCAGGACCAAGAAATAAAATAGAAACAATATAAGAACTAAAAATACTTTTTTTAAAAAATTGAGAAATAATTTGTGGGAAGGGTTGTTGAAGTTAGTGTAAGTACACTATATTCTTTAAGTAATGATAATATTTTAGTAATATTAAAGTGATGATAGTAATCACTAGGAGAACTAAAAGTAAAAATTTTTAATTGGTTATCTTTTGAGAATGGGAACCATGACCTGCTCTTCTGTTTGAAAATTTATCATGTTTGTATATTACTTACATAATTTTCAAAAGTTATGTAACATATCATAAAAAACTAAACATGATAACCCAAAATGACCTGACCCATATAGATTGGGATTATCACATTGCTTAATTTGATGCTTATTTTCCTTCAGAAATGCATTCCAAGATTGCAATAGTTTTGATAATAGACCCATCAAGTTGTTAGTATAGACTACTTAAACCAGCAGGTCTCTTCATATGAACTTGTGTTAAGTCACATCTAAAAGCAGCAGTCAAAATGGCAGAGTAGGTAAATTCTGTGCTGGCCTCCTCTCACAACCACATTAAAGTTACAACTAAACTACAGAACAACCATAACTGAGAATTGCCTACCTGAACAGAAGTCCTATAACTAAGGCCATACTGGTAGGAGAAGCAAAGATGCAGAATGGGTATCCTACACCCAAGTAGGACAATTAAAATCAGAAATGATATCTCGGCTGCAGAGATCCCCCCAAAGGAGCAGGGTCCCAATCCCACACTGGGCTCCACAGCCCAGAGCACCAGTGCCAGGAAGATAAGTTCCCACAACTTCTGGCTATGAAAACCAGCCGAGATTGTGGCTGAGCGAAACAGGGCGGCTGGAGTCTCAAGTGTTTCTCTTAAAGGGGCCTGTACATGAACTTACCCACTGATAGACTCACTCACTCTGAGCTCCAGCATTGGGGCAGCAGCTCCCAAAGTACCAGAGACATATGCAGAAGAATTGAATTGTCTGATTTTAGCACGAGGAGTGGTGGGGTAGCTTTCTCCCAGACTGAAATGCTGGCAAAAACATTGTTCCTTTGTTGAGCCCTCCTCCAACCTGGCATGCAGTTACAGGCAGGCACCATATCTGAGTATCCGTCAACCTAGCCAACACTATTCACCTCACCTTGGTGATTCCCAGAGATCCTGCCCCACCTAACTTGTGGGCCTACTCAAGCTGCTTCTAGTGGCTTTTCCATACAAATGATCTGTGTTGGCTTATTCTACAGACTTTCTTAAAATCTCTCAAAGGTTCATGAACCCCACACAAGCAGCATCTGGCCTCAGCATGCCTACCATTTGCTAAGCAGCCCCAAGCCCAGTACTAACAGCAGCCAGTCTTGGTTCACAGCTTAGTCTCTTCTAGGCATCTCCAAGCTCAGCACAAGTGGTAACCATCTGAAGATCACTTTGTAGCTCATACCAAGTGACCCTAGGCAAGGCATAGGCAACACTGACTTTGGTCTGCAACAGAGCCCCTCCCAAGAGGCCCCAGAAACAACACACCCAGTGGCTAGCTTCAGATCACACCAGAGCATCACCCAACCGCCTCCACAAATGACACACCCAAAGGAGAGACTAGGCAGGGATCAGAGCCCCACTAAAATGAATCCTCCTCCTTAGTATCATCCCCTACACAATAGTTCCTCCACTGTGGTCACAGTCAGTCTTTGCAACCAATCAACCTGAGAGTCAAACCTTCCCACTGATGTGCAAACAGCAACCTAGGCTCAACTACAATAGGATGGCACATACAACCCACACAAGGGACTCACCTGGAGCACCCAGCTCAGGTGATCAAGGAGGCTACGACACTGGGTCCCACAGAACACCTACTACATAAGGCCACTCTACCAAAACAGAGAGACATAGCAGCCCTACCTATACATAGAAACAAACACAGGGAGGCAGCCAAAATGGGGAGACAAAGATACATGTCCCAAATGAAAGAAGAGAGCAAAGCTCCAGAAAAGAACTAAACAAAATGGAGACAGGCAATCTACCATATGCAGAGTTCAAAACATTGGCTATAAGGATGCTCAGTGATCTCAGTGAGAACTTTAACAAAGAGACAGGAAACATAAAAATAGAGTTAGAAAACATAAAAAAGAACAAGTCAGAAATTACGAATATAATAACTGAAATGAAGAATACATTACAAAGAATCAACAGTAAATTAGAAAAAACAGAGAATCACATCAGCAATTTGGAATATAAGGTAGAAGAAAACATCCAATCAGAACAACAAAAAGAAAAAAAGAATCCAAAAAACTGAGGATAGTTTAAGGGACCTCTGGAACAACATCAAGCATCTTAGATGCAACAACTTGCATCTTAGAGGTACCAGAAGGAGAAAAGAGAGAGCAAGAGATTGAAAACCTATTTAAAGAAATAATGACTGAAAATTTTCCTCATGTGTAAAGAAAATATACATACAAGGCCAGGAAGTGCAGAGTCACAAACAAGATGAACCCAGAGAGGCTCAGACAAAGATACATCATAATTAAAATGCCAAAGAGAGAATTCTAAAAACAGCAAGAGAATTAGTTACCTACAAGGAAGCTTCCATAAGATTGTCAGTTGATTTCCCAACAGAAACTGTGCAGGCCAGAGGGATTGGCATGAAATATTCAAAATGATGAAAAGCAAGGGCCTACAATAAAGATTACTCTACCTAGCAAAGTTATCATTTAGAATCGAAGGACAAATAAAGAGTTTCCCAAACAAGAAAAAGCTAAAGGAGTTTATCACCACCAAACCAGTATTACAGGTAATGTTAAATAAACTTTTTAAAGATAAAAAAGAAAAAAGACAAAAAATATGAATAATAAAATGGCAACAATTACTTCAAATGTAAATGGATTAAATGCTCCAATCGAAAGACATAGGGTGGCTGAATGGATTAGAAAACAAGACCTTTATATATGCTGTCTACAAGAGACTCATTTCAGATTGAAAGACACACTGACTGAAAGTAAAGAGACAGAAAAAGATATTTCATGAAAATGAAAACTAAAGAACAAAAAAGCTAGGGTAACAATATTTATACCAGACAAAATAGACTTTAAAACGAAGGTTACAACAAGAGACAAAGAAGGACCTAGTTATCCCCCTTCTGGGTGTTTATATGAAAAAAACAAAAACACTACTTTGAAAGGACACGTGAATCCATATGTTCATTGCAGCATTATTTACTATATGGAGGCAATCTAAATGTCCATCAATGGATGAATTGATAAAGAAGAGTACTACATATATATAATGGAATATTATCTAGCCATAAAAAAGAATGAAATCTTGCCATCTGCAACAACTTAGATAAACCTAGAAGGCATAAAACTGAATGGAGTAAGTCAGACAGAGAAAGACAAATGCCATATAATTTCACTTATATGTGGAATTTAAAAAACAAAACAAACAAACAACAAAACAGAAAGAAACTCACAGATACAGAGAACATTTTGATGGTTGCCAGATGAGAGGGGAGTTGGGTGGCTGGGTTAAAAAGGGGAAGATATTAAAAAATACAAAAAGGTAGTTACAAAATAGTCATGGGGAAATAAAGTATAGCATAAGGAATATAGTTGATAATATTATAATAACTATGTATGGTGTCAGATGGGTAGTAGATTTATTGGGGTGATCACTTTGTAAGTGATAGAAATGTCTAATCACTATGTTGTATACCTGAATCTAATATAACATTGAAGTGTTAACTGTAATTTAAAAAATAATTATTTTTAAAAGTAAAAATAAAAGCAGAACTTTGGGGTTGTTTTTATTGTTAAATTCATGTGTTATTTTCAAAACATCATTTCACCCTGTCCAAATTTCTGCTAATTCATGTTAATTTTCTTCTATATTATATTCTTTTGATAGATAGATAGATATTTCAGGTTATAGTTATCTTTCTCCACTCACCTTAAAGAGAGAATTTTCTCCTTGAACCTGCTGAGGATTATAACTCACATTATTATTTTATGAAAGGTGAGATTCCTTTTCTTTGGATGATCCAAATACACCTTGTGTAGCTGAGTTTCTTATTTTATTCCTCCTTTATATTTTATTCTTACTCTTGCCAACATTCCAACACGACTTTGCTGTACTTTTTCTCCTTAGAACTTGCCCTCATTCTGGCTAACTACTCAAAATACAGCCTCCATCTTATCTAAAAATGCCTTTTCCCAATAGCCATTGCTAGAAAGGCAGTCTTCAAACTTGTCTGCTTTCTCTTTTAAGAGGAAGAACAAGTTCACATAATTGGTTATTGTAATTTCAGAAGAGAAAAAAAAAAAAAGAAAGAAAATGCCTGTAGGTCCCTGGGGCAGTTGGTCTTTTAACCTGACTTGGAACATTTGCAGACTGCCAGTTGGCTGAGCCACTTCACCTCTGGGATTGTGGTTCCATGGAGACTCCCAAAGCCACTAATATTCCTTCATACTATAATCAAATCTAGACTCCTTCCACAAACACAGAAGCACAAAGAAAAATTCTTGATGATAAGATTTCAAAATATTTTGATCATCTATTCCCACATTTTTTGTTAGGCCTATTAATATACTATAAAGTTATTTTTTAAATAATCCAGTCTTATATTTATATTTAATATCCCTAAATTCTTTCAATTTTTTCCATAAATTATTATTTTCCAATTGTTTTATTATTCCTGTTACTGTCTTTGGTTCTAACTTCTCATTAAAAGGCGTATGAAAACATTGGGAGCGGATGAGGGAATAGTTTGTAATTATCTACTTGTACTTTAGAAAAGTTGTTCTTGAAGTGGTCCTCAAGGGCAAGAAAACTTCAAGAAAACTCCCTTGGAAATTTCCAGGCACAGGCCCTTCTGCAAAAGTGTTTCTTTGTGTGGCTATGGGGTTGTTACATGGGTAGAGACATGTTTTCTGAAGGCTTTACAAAAAGTAAAACAGCTTTAAAATAAGTAAATGGATTCCAGTATAGGTAATTATTTTCATTTTTTATATCAGCTAGTCTGGGAGTCAGCGAATTATTTTTCCGTGAAGCGCCAAATTATAAATATTGGGGCCTTTGCAGTTCATACAGTCTCTGTTACTACTACTCAATTCTGCAACTACTCAGTTCTCTTGTTGTAGACAAAAGAACAGTAGTAGGCAATATGTAAGTAAATGGGCATGACTGTGTCCTGATACAACCTTATTTACAAAAACAGAAAGTAGAACCGCTTTAGCCCGAGGGCTGTAGTTTGCCTATCTTTGACTGGACTACAGATATATGACTTTCAATAAAATATACATGTACAGTTTGGCTGATTACATAGAAAAGAGCCACTAAAGAAATTTAAGGCATTTGTGAAAATTGTTACCTGTGAAAACATTTTCTTGGGCCATTGTTAAACTTCGCTACAGTCCTAACCAGCCCCAGCCTGTTTTGACTGTAAAGGCTGCTTTATTTTTTTTTTTAACCTGAACAATTAATTTCCTCTACTCAGGTACTATTACCCACTGTATCCAAGTTTCTGCTCATCAAGTCGTGCCTCTGAGAGAACAGTCTATTCCAGTTCCGCTGCATGAATTTACATGAATATTCTGTGCCACCATGATGTTCTTTGAAATTTAAGTCACAAGTAAATTTGACTTAAAATGATTTAACAAGTAAAAATCATTTACTTGTTAACTACATGCCATTAGATAAATTACAGAAAACAGTTTCCTGGTAGTCAGTCTGGCGTGTGTACACAGATAAACACTCTTCTCTGGCCATCGTTCTTTCCAATTCTTCAATCCCTATTCTAGTCATCTTCTGGCCACTGAGAAAATGAAATCCTTAGGTTCCTTAGTTAAGCCCTAAACTACATTTGGTGACTCTTCCTGATCATGCCCTCAGAAATCTCTAGAACAAAACTATAGTTTGTTCAGACAGGTCTTCAAACTGTTATTTCTTTTATATTTCTCTGTATTTCCAAGGACTCCATTTCTCTACAGTTATCAGTCTTCAATTCATCCTTCTCTCTTCCATTCCCAGTCATAAACATGCCCAGTCCATATGGTATCATGACTCTTTTATTCATATCTATCCATGTCTAACACTCCTAATTTTCTCAAACAAACATAACTATTAACATATCCTACAACCAAATATATCAGTCCATCTAGACAGTGATTTTCTCCTAATCCACTCATAATTGGAATGGAGAAAAAGCTTTTTTAACTTTAAGAAGCCCAAAGAGTGCAAAGAGAACAGGCAAGGAAATAGGAATACCTCTTCTTGGAAACATATTTCACTTTTTTCTGCTTGGCAGCACATCTTTGCCAGGTGAGTGAAATCCGGAATAATTGATTGGAACTGCATCTCTGTTGCATATGGTTTCTGCTTCACAAGGTTGCTGAGGAGCCTGGATCAGAAATGAGTGGCAAAAATACAAGTACTACCTGAGTTCTAGAAGGTCAGCTGCAGACCTGCCTTATTTAAAGCTGCACACCACGCCTTTTCATCACTCCCAGTCCTGAGCTGAAAGGCCCTCAAAATGCCCTGATGTCTTCATATTTTTCACAATGTTCATCTCCATCTTCATGTTTTATTCAGCATACTTTTTCTCAAGCACATCTCTTCAGTGTAAGTATTAAATTAAATTTAATTATCTCTATGTAATTATTATTAGAGTTAACATTTTTGTTTTCTCCTTTCATGGCATTGAATGATAAATAGGTTATATAGTAAATTAAATAGTTTTTCCTCTAACAGTTGTTATAAACAATATTTGTTCTAAACAACTAGCTTCCAAATCAATATTACAATATAACATATCTGGAATTTGAGGGCTCCATATGTTTTGAATGAGAAAACCAATAACCTAATTTAAAACTTCAGTGGCTTGATAGTCACACCAGATTTCTCTCACAGAATCAGTTTCCCTCACAACTATATAAACAAGTGTTTTAACCACTTTGAATATTTAAAATTGTAACCAGTTTTCTGCCTATTTAATAAAATAGTATTCCAAACCTTCCCTTTTTTTACTGTTCTAGACCAAAGGAGATTTAACCACAAAGAAAACAAGGCATGAAGGATAGAGGAAATGTACATTGTTCGGTATTTTACTGCTTACCTAAATGTTCTGAGTGTCCCAAAAACGATTTCAATAGTATCATCCAAGATCTTTAATCTCAGATCACCATGACAAATATAATAATAACGAAAAAGTTTGAAATATTACGAGACTTATCAAAACGTGACACAGCAACACAAAGTGAGCAAATGCTGTTGGCAAAAAATAAAAGGCACTGATAGACATTCGATGCAAGATTGCACAAACCTTCAAGTTGTAAAAAAAAAAAAAAAAGGCAATATCTGTGAAGTACAATAAAATGAGATATGCCTGTACTTGTGAGACTCATCCTGAGATAAGAAGTCAGGCTCGCGATCTCCATTCAGTAGGAAAGGCTTGGTCAGTGGAAGACAGAAGGAATTCTGTGGTTCCCCAGCTGGGCCTTCCTTAGACTCATTTCTGAGCCATTTGAGATTGTGATAATTCTTTGAAAAAGTTCTGTAAAAGTACTTTCATTAAAGTCCCGAAAACCATCAAGACACGTGCAGCACTGCCATGGTACTTGCTAAAAGCACATAATCCTGGGGGGCAGAAGAAAGTATTATTTTCTTTTTACAGCCAAACATAAAGCAGCTTTGTCACTTCAAGGGAACCAGTCTGCAGTTGAGCAGGAGACAGTGATACCTGGAGGGCATGACTGTTCCCAGTGGCACAGAAGCCGTGCCAGGAGAGCATGCCTGGAGAATTACTGGCTTGTAAGAGAGGTGCAGATAGTTTCATAAACTCTTCCCTAAGGATTATGAGGACAGTTGCCGGCACTGAAATTTTGTATAAGCAAGTAGTAGCAAGAGTATGCAAAACTTGCATTATTAAATATTAGAACCAAACACTGATGGACAGAGGACAGTTGTGGAAGTATGTATATTCCTATACATATATTTTAATGGGTATCTCTGCTAGGTCGGAATAAAAATATTATCATTTTCTTCTCTCTTCTATATTTTCTAAATATTCTGCAATGATTATGTATCACTTTAATAATAAAATAAATCAATATTTTAAAAGAAATAGAATAGTATAAACATTGTTTTTTGTCCAGCTGTACCTATTCAGTCTTCTAATTAGGCCTAAACTTGATTTCATGTGAAAGAAAACATTGTTCTTGTTTGTAAGTTTCTCTATATAATTCAAGTTTGTATGGTTAGATATATAGTCAAATCAGTTGTACTACCTTTGAATAGTTTACAGTTTACAGCTAGTTCATACAAAATCTGGAATTCTTTCCTTCTAATGTCATAAAAACGGCACAAACTTTGAAGTCAAACTAATTTTGGTTCAAGTTTGGTCCTCCACTCGTTTGTGTGATGGTGGGTGAGATATTTAACCTCTCTGACCTTCATCTATAAAAAGAAAAGTTGAATACCAATATTGCAAGGTTTTTCGAGGACTGAAAACAATATCTTAAAGGGCTGAGTAGAGTAACTGGTATACTGAAGGCACTCAATACATAGTGGCAAGGGTAATAACAACAATGAACCATTATAATAATAACAGCACAACTTGCTTTTATTTCAAATTATTGATTGCTTCCAACCAGAGTCTCCCTCATCCTTGACTCCCACAATAAATAGTCCTAAGTCAGCTGGTTTCTGAATGCACTTCTCCAAAAGAATCAGTAGGGGGAAGACGAGCATAACTGCTGTGTTTTCAGACCAGCCAGCAAACAGCTTCTTATTAAACAAGGAAAACCACTCTCATTGTACTGGGATAGGCAAGGGAGAAAACAGTCTCCCATTACAAGAAGGCAAACAAAAGGTCTGGGAATGGGATTCAGAGCAGAGGTTTCAAGATGTCATGTTAGCTCTCCTCGGCACTCCAGATATAAAGGCTGCCATTTCTACAACTGGGGATGCTGTACCACTTGGAAGCTGGACCCACTCTCCCCAACAACTATGTTACATACTTGTCATCTGCTTGCAGTTGATTTACCTCTGCTGCCCTCCTCCTCCACTCTGATCTCTCTACCTACTAACTGCTTTTATTTAAAAATATTTCTCCTAATCTTTTCTTTTCTTTTAGTTTTAACTTTTTTGATTTACTTTTTTAAATCTTCAGTGTTATTTTAAATTCTCAATGCCATCAACTTGTTTTCAGTTTTTCATTTCTATAGTATTAATTTGTTATTTTCATTAAATTTGTCCACCATTTTAATTAAAGCACATTCTAGTCTTTATATACTCTCTTAAATCTTACCATTTCAACTCAATATTTTTCTTAATTGGATTTTAAATTCTTTTACTTCAAACACTTCTATTTTTTCTTTACTATCCATTGAATATTTTCTTCTCCCTCCAGAAATCCCTTCATTTTAAAAAAGTTATTTATTTATTTTTTGTGTTGGGGGGATTTATGTTATGATGGTCAACCAGAATTATATGGGGTGAAAGTCCTTGCCACTATCCCAGGAAATTGGAGGTGTATTTTTCTACCTGGCCTTTCACTCCCAGTATGGATCCTTCTAGAATATTCCAGAAATCCCCACATTAACTATCTCTATGCTATTCTTTTCTCTATTGAATTCATTGGAACAGGGACGATTCTTAATATTTCACACTTATTATCATCTAGCCCTTATATGAAGAGCTCCATGTTTTACAAATTATAACCAGTATTATAATAACTCATCTAGCAGCTAGATGTTGGTAGTTAATTATATATGCTGACTCAGACTGCTGGGGTGCAAATTCTAGCTTAACAACCTAGCTACCTGTTGCATGATCTCATACCAGATCTTCCCTTCATAGCTTCTTCCTCATCATTGAGATGGGGTAACAATATTACCTCATAAATTTGTAGTAAGGATTTAATGAGATGACATACATAAAGTGGTGTCTCTATGCTCAGAAAACTTCCTCAAGAGAAAGAAAATCCTGCACTCTACAAATAAAATAGACTTCTTTCTCCTTATGTTCTCACATCAAGCCTGGGCTAAAGAAGAAATGACTAACTAAATGCTAGTTTTTGGGGTGCTTATTGGAAAGTTTTAAAGCCTAGTTTGTGATCAGCTCACCTTGAGAAATGAAGAAAGGGCTTCAAGATCACCTGGCTTATAAATTGCAAGTGCTATGATAAAGCAGGACAAGTAACCACCTTGTACTTGCTGACCAAAAGAATACGTTCATCCCTAAGGCAACAAATACTTTGCCTCACTTCATAAGATGATATTGTTGGACTAGTAATATTTAGACTCTGCAAGAGCAAGTCTTAAAGTAAATAAATCAATTAGAAATAAACTACCACTTCTAATGCTGTTGGAGGTGAAGGAACAAGGACCAGTGTCTGCTTTTCCTGAGAACAGGATCAAGGGCATGTGAGGAGGGCAAGAAGCATGGTGGGCACTATAAGGGAACTGACCCCATTGTCAGGGGCTGGAGTGCTTTCAATGCTTCCTGTTGATTCAAAGAAACTAGAATTTCACCCTTCGGCTTTTCCTAAAATAGTCACCGTTTCTCCATTCCAAATGGGGTCTCTAAATGACATCCAGCAGCAGCAGAATTCATTCCAGGAGAGAATGCCTAAACTATGAGAATATCTTGGCTCTAGGCTCAGGATTGGGGCTGGGGGTAAAGAGAAAGATGGATGATTGATGTCACTAGAAGGACATTTATTTGTCTGCAACAGAAAACAAGTAGCTTCTTTACTAAGATCTGATAGTAAGTACTCCATTTGATCCATCTATTTGGGATAGAGAGGATTGGGAGAAATGCCCACCAGTTGTGACCTCTTAACCTTATGCTCTCAGGAGCAAAGAGCAAGACCAGCTGCCCTAAGGTTGTGTGTGCTGCATGTGCTACTTCCGAGACCAAGCCTGTCATACCTCTGTCACTTCAATCATAGTCAGAAAGCTAAATCTCCCAGATCACGTGTCATCATACTGATGTTTCTACATCCTTAATCTGACCCATCCTTGTCCTCCCTAACTCATCTCCTTGTCCTCCCTTCCTCATCCTCTGTACATTGAGGCTTTCTCATCAGAAAACTTCCCTATATCTGCAGCCTCTTCTCTGAACTTCTCTTTCTTGCTCATGAGGCTCCCCAAAAGACACAGTTTCCCCAAAGACCTCTCAAGAGGAGGCTATTTTTGCTCAAACTCCACTTACCTTAGCACCTAGTTCTCTTTCACTGCTCCCAACATATCTCTCCTTCTTCCTCTTTTAAAAGTCATAGCTCCTTTGAAGTATATGTCATCAAACTCTAACATCCTCTATCCCTATTTATTTTTGCCATACATATAAAGCTTCGTCATGCCTGTGTAGCAGGGACAAGGCATCCTAGCCAAGGCCAGCCAACTCTCATCTGACTTAGCAGTTGACTTAGAAGCTTACCATAGACTTTTGAGTAAGCCTGCTGAGAATGGCTGAGGCTTGCCCAGGTCAACAGACTTATCCAATCAACCCACAGATATTTGAGCAATAATAACTGTGCTGTGTTAAGCCACTACATTCTGGTGCAATTTGTTATGCACCAAAAACTAACTAACATACCATATGAAGAAAGGATGAGGGAAAAGAAATATGACAATGAAAGAAATATGACAAGAAGGTAGGCAACGTTGTGGAATGACTAAGTATTCTAATAGATGATGTGAAAGCGAGAGTGGAAAAGACCACTGGATTGAATTCTATTGCTGCATTTTCCAGAAATCCTTTTTACATAAAACACACATTGGGAAACCCTGATCAAATGTAAAGAGATAGTATTCTGCTGGAAACATTTCTTATCAATAGGCTTCAGTATTGGTAACAACAATCAAATCAAAATAGTACATTATAAAGTAATAACATATTCATAAAATTTTCTAATTTATAAATGTTTTCATATGCATTATATATATTATATGTAGAATGTAAACACACACACATGTATTTCCATGGTCATATATAAGTTTGGAAAGCATTGTATATACCATTTCTCTCACCTTCCTCTAGAGATCCATCTCCAGATTAAGAACGTAATAACCCTACCTCATCCTCAATTGGCGGTCAAATATCCTTACTCAGCAACACAGAATATCTATAAATTATTTCTCTCTGTAGCTCTAGAAGTAAAAATTTGCTTGGAAGTGACAAGGAAACAGATTTCAACTTAATAAAAAAGTTGAGCATATCTAAAGATAAATAAGCTGCTTTAAACAAATGGTCTTCTTGTCACTGGAAATATTCATGGAGGAGCTGCACAGTGTGTTTTAGAAGAAATTCCTAAATTTGGGAGTGGGAATAATAATATCTAAGCTTCCTTCCATTTTCAGTATTCTTTGATATTATATGTTCATAGAAAAAATGTATATGACATTTAAGTTGTTATTTCCAGTACTGTGAGTTTCTAGTGATATTCTATTCTATATTCTGAGAAGTTACTACAAAGCCTTATCTGGTGCAAAAAAACTTCACTATAGAGAGTGGGAAAGTGGGAGGAGAAGGAAATCAAGGATTCAAGGTATTGAATTCACAAGCATTATGTTATCACCCAGCTGGCTCCCACTATAATTACCCAAAAACCATTCTTCCAAACAGATACAACTGCCACTCCTAGTACCAGTAGAAGTGGTCGTAAAAGCAATAACATACTGTGAGGTAATACACATCGCTCTAAGGGAATGTTCCAAAGCACTTTCTTAGCATACTGGTCTTGTAGAATCTCAGTAGTTTCTATGGCCCAAAGAATGCTATGTTAGAACAAGCTAATTACTTTACTACAGAACTTCTCTGACTTCCATTGTTAATGGAAGGTATGAATTCTGAGTAGCAAGGAAATACAGTATTCCCAAACTTATTTGATCATAGAACCCTATTTGTAGAATACCCCTTATAAAACCAATATTCCAAGGTTCACATTTTAGGAAAAAATACATTAATGTACTTCTCTGATCAATAGACTTCAATCTCATTAACTGATCAAATTGGGCTAGCAGCCATAATCGCCACACTTGCAAAACTGTATAATATTCTCTATTATACACAACATTTAGCTGCTCTATTAATTATGCAGTACTTATATCTGTGCCCACTTCACAGTACTCTATACCTACTCCTTCACTGGCAATAAAGAACAAATTAAACAAAGATCCTTACTTTTGCTTTTCAGTTTGGAATTCCTCCTCAGCTTTGCACAACTCTTCTGTAAGGCTGATAACTTGGTCACAGGATAAAGGTGGAGAAATGTAAGTTCTATCAACATGCAGGTCATCAAAGCATGGCTTCCTGAAGGCATAAGAGTCATCACAGCAGTGACCCACGCCATCATTGATAGGCTCTGCCTCATGTCTTCTGCATAAAGCTCCAAATATTAGTTTAGCCTTTTCCAAAAGAGAATTAAATTAAAAGCCATAAGGTTTGTGGTCATTATTTTCTTACTCATAAAAAAATAAGATTATATTTAAGTTTTCTCAAATTCTAGTTTCTGATAGTCCAGCCTGAATTTCATGGTTTGGGAAAAAGCAAGAGTGTCAGGCGCATCCTAGCTCTGAGACTTGTTCTCCCTCTTCCTGTCATCCTTGGTTGAGTTTACTTGGATCCCACTCCCATGTTCCTCCCCAGTCCAGTTTATAAGTTAGTATTGACTCAAGGCAGGAGTTTTCTATGCTCCATTAAATTAAAATCTAGTCTCAAGTCAACAGTATTGTGAATTTGACTCAGATATAAGTATGATAATTGTAGCAATGAAGGAATGCAAAATGAATAAATGAATGATGAAGAAAATTCTTGGATCCTATTTCAGCTATCTCCTTCATTTTCTTGTCCTCTTGTTATCTTCTAGAACTGTCACCTTGTCTTGCCCCCAATGTGTCTGATACTTATCCTAATGCTATTTGCAAGCCTGCCTGTATGACTCCCTGAGTATAATGGATACCCAAATTTGCTGTCACTTATGTATTTGGGAATGAAGTAATTAAAACCAGTAAGCATCAACATTTAATATATGAGTTTATTCATTTTAAAAGCCACCAAAAAGATCATCTAAAAAATAAAGCTTTAGGAATATATAAGTCTAATTGAAAGAGTTCTCCAAGGTAAGCATGACTAAAAAATAAAAATGCATAATAAAATAAAAGGAAGGCAGGATTAGATAATAAAAAAAAAATTTTTAATCTGCAACCAAAACAAGTGTATTTTATCAGAAGAAAGATAAACTCAGCATAAAGGAGATGCTCTACCAAGAACAGAGGGAGAAGAAAGTTGTCATCAAACAAAAATTCAGTGGTGTTAATACAATACCACTTGAGAGACACCTAGAGACTAGATCTAGGAGATTTGAGCATCCAGGTCCCTGGAGAGATGTTTTCCATGTGAGGAAGGAATAATTTATTATTCTTTACTATAGCCTGAAAAAAAAAAATATCATTCAAGACCATGACTGCCCTTCCTCTGATTCCATTTATACAAATACCCATATTCTAATTCAACTTCCCAAGTGTTTTAATTCAGGAAAAAGTATAGCTTAGTTATTAGGCTCAATTATTCCTGCCATTGGAAAGACATTGCTCATTGTAAATGAATATATTGGTCTTCTGTCTAATAAAATTAATATCTGTGACTTTGGTGTGAGATAATAGAAAATATAAATATTTGGACTTTGACCCCAGTTCCTAGCACAGGGCTTCTGAAGCCCTTGTAAATTTGATAAGAGCAATAGGAAGATCTTTTGTTCTAACAAGGCAACCCTGGGTAGGCTCCTGGTTTGGGGCTGGTCACCAGAAAGACCAAGCTGCAATTAGCAGCTTGGAATTTTTAGCCTCATTTCTCATTCCCCAGAGTGGGAGAGGGGCTGGAAATGGAATTAATTGATTATGTCTGCATAAAGAAGCCTCTCTAAAATCCCAATAGTATGGGGTTTGGAGAGCTTTCAGGTTGGTGAACGCATCCACATACTGGGAGTGTGATGTACCCCAAATCCACCAGAACAGAAGCCAGAAGCTCTTGTACTCAGGACACTCCCAAACCTCACTCTGTGTGGACTTCATCTTGCTGTCCATCTGTATTCTTTATCATATCCTTTAATAAACTGGTAAACATAAGTGTTTCCCTGAGTTTCGTGAGACATTCTGGCAAATTAAAACCCTTGAAGGGGGTCGTGGGAATCTCTGAGGTATAACCAATCAGTCAGAAGCACAGGTGACAACCTGGACTTGGAATTGTCATCTGAAGGGGGTGGAGACAGTCAGTCTTGTAGAACTGATCTCTTAATCTGTGGGATCTGATGCTATCTTTAGGTAAATACTGTCAGGACTAAGTTAAATTGTAAGACACTCAGCTGGTGTTGCAGAGAATTGTTCGTTGTGGAGAAAAATCTATACACATCTGGTGTCAGAAGTGTTGTAAGGGTGGTAGTAGTGTGAGTAAAGGAGAAACACAGGAGGAAAACTGGTTATTTTTCCTACACATTTGATTAGGATGAGTTAGTCTGAAGTCAGCATTATCTTTGAAGTTGCTGGCAAAATAACTTTTGTTGCCTTGAAAATCCAATAAATAGACCCTGGGGTATGATCCAGGCAAAAGGCCTCTTGAATCTGACATCCCCAATGTTAAGGAAGAAGCATCTTTATTCCTATTGCTAATCAAAGACAATTAGCATGAGCTGACCTTTAAGAATTTCTTCTGAGGATAGAATTATTAGGCTCCATTGACACTTCATAGGTGTGTCCACTGATAGATTAATTGTTGGGGGTTGGAGATTAGAACTTCAAAAACAGGCAAACATGAAGTCACAGATATGCTTACCGTGTCCTCCACGCAGACAAACTTTTGCTCATCACTTAGTGGGCAACAATTGGTGGCAGCAGCTGCCATGTTTTTCGTGAACGCAACCAACTCTTGAGCAGATAGTTGTGGGGCTTTCTTAGTATAAAGAACCAGGAGCCTAAAAGAATAATTTCTTCTTACTCTTGGCAATGACTATATGCCTAAAATGAAGAATTCTACTGTTTGCTTCAATATCCAACATTGTCTCTGATTTAGGATGAACAAAGCATTAAACTGGGTTTAATCCTATCCATTAGTCCTTGTTCCAATGGCCTAATGGCTTATTCAATATACCCAGCATTCTCTTCCAACTTCACACATTGAAATGTTAACTATGTTGCCTAGAGAAGGGTTCTTCAAAGAAACACAAGCTGAGAAAGAGCAATTAGCGGCATTGTTTTATAAGCTATGTAAATATCTAACCAATGTACTGTATATTGAAATTAATAAAATAATTTTTTAAAGGCAGATATAAATAGACATTTTCCCAACAAAGATATATAGATGGCCAACAGGTACATGAGACAATGTTTGACATTACTAATTATCAGAGAAATGCAAATCAAAAACACAATGAGATATAACCTCACAACTATCAGAATAGCTATTATCAAAAAGACAAGAAATAAATGTTGGTGAGGATGTGGAGAAAAGGGAACACTTGCACACTATTGCTGGAAATATAAATTGGTGCAGCCTCTCTGGAAATGGAGGTTCCTCAAATTAATCTTCCTAAATGGAGGTTCCTAAAATTAGAATGGAGGTTCCTCAAAAAATTAAAGATAGAACCACCATATGATCCAGCTATTCCACTTATGATTATTTATCCAAAGAAAATGGAAACACTAATTTGAAAAGATATAGGTACCTCTATTATCATTGCAGCATTATTTGTAATAGCCAAGATATGGAAACAACATAAATGTCCATTGATAGATGAATAAATAAAGATGTGGTACACACACACACACACACACACACACGCACACTCACACACACGCACACTCACACACACGCACACACACACACACACAATGGAATGCTACTCAGCCCTAAAAAGCAAATCTTGCTATTTGCAACAACATGCATGGACCTTGAGAGTATTATGCTAAGTGAAATAAGTCAGAGAAAGACAATACCATATGATTTTACTTATCAGTAGAATCTAAAAATCAAAAGAAAAAACAAAACTCATAGATACAGAGAACAGATTGGTAGTTATCAGATATGTACGTAGCTTATAAAACAATCCCCCTAATTGTATGGTGAAATTGTAACTAAACATATTGTGATCACTTTGTACTGTATACAAAGATTGAATTATGCTGTGTATCTGAAACTAATATAATGTTATATACTAACTTTATCTCAATCAAAAATAAATAAATATGGGTAAAATGGAAAAAAAAAGAAAGAAAAGAAACACAAGCAATACGATTTTGAGTGTTTTCTTTTTTGCTTTCATGTGTCTTTATTTATGTGGAAGATTAATACTGTGTTCCTAATTACTCTAGCATTTAGTAAAACCTTTTTACTTTCTCTGTTTCTGCTTCCTGGGAAGATTCAGCTATATAGATTTTTCTTTTGCTTTCAATTGAGAACATTTGGGAAAATACAAATCTCTTTCCTATACAATATACAGGCATGTGAATATTCATAACAGTTTTCAACTTGTTTCTGTTAACATTTATCTTTAGAAATATGATTTTAATAACTCGGTCTTGTCAGACTCCAAAGACTTTAGAAATTATTGTCTTCAGAAAAAAATAGCCTACAAAAATTTGTTCCACCCTGATCCATCTTTTTCTACTTATCAAAGATAACTATTTGGATGACTACAAAATCAGACTAAGAGTAAACAGCTTCTACAACAAAGGCCATTAAAGCTTTTATTGGTTGTCTACAATGTGTAGAAATAGGGCCTACAACTATTAGGAAATGGTCTCTACTTATGGAGCACACACCCCAGTGGGAGGATAGACAAGGACACTCGGTGAGTGAGAGGAGTAGAGTGCCTTAGGTGCACGTAGAATGACATTGAATCCTATCTCAGGGAGATCAGGCAAGCCTCCTGGAGGAAATGACATGTCATTTAAGATTTGACAATAACAATGAGTGAGGTAGAGGGGATTGAAAGTGGAAGGGAAGTATTTGGGAAGTCACTGGATGTGATTTTGTTTGGGGGAGGGGGTTAAGGATTGGAGAGAGGAAAAGGAAGAAAGTTTAGTTACAGAATCAGAGTTACATTGTTTTGAAGATAATTATGGTTGATGTATAAAGAGTGGATTAGAGGTGGGCAAAGGCAATGTGAGGGAAGAAACAATTTGAAGGCCATTTTGGTAATCCAGGTGAGAGATGGTGGTAGACTGCACTAGGAGAGTAGTGGTGGGAACTGAGGGATATGGAAAGAGATTTTAAGGAGAAAGACCTGAGTTTGAGGACAATAATAAAAAAATCAGAATCAATTCTTGCATTTAGATTACAATGAAGTTTGGGGAAGAATTTAGCTACAACATTCAATGAGACAGTCACCCTAATCCAGTGGTTCGCAAACTGTGACTCCTGGACCAACAGCATCAGCATCCCTGGGAACTTGTTAAAAGTGCAAATTTTCAGGGCCCATCTCAAAAACTCTGGGGGTGTGGGGGTGGAGAGCTATATTTTAACAAGTCCTCCAGACAATTCTTAAGTTGGAGAATCACAGATCTAATACTTAAACTAGGTATTAGCAGCTGAACACAATATAAAAGTAACAAGTTAAATATACTCTCCAAAACAAGAATACTTTTTCTGGATTCATTATTCCAGACATTTAATTTAATCTCAATAATATGGGACATTATATCAAATTGAACTTTTCCTTAATACTCTGCTTCTAAAGAGACTATTATATAATGATCCTAAAGATTGCTAAAAATTGGCTTTTGTTTTTGATATATTATATTAACCTTTGAAATTTAGTGAAATTTACCAGTCTCTCTGCACACAAGTTTTGTGTGTTCCCCTGGCAAATAACTAAGGTATCTATTTATCTCTACTTTTGGTGGTAAAAATACTAAATTTGCTATATGGAACTGATTTGAAACAGACAGGGACCCTACATTAGATCTCTGTTGCAGCTTTGACTCAAAATTGCAGTCTCAAACTAAATGTCCAGGTATAAGGAGGGGCCCCGGTGAGATTGTAGGAAGGCAGCAAGGGCTTATTTGGCCCCCTAACCTCTGGGCATTGACTAAAATCTGGAAACTGGCCTGTAAAGCACTGTAAAAGCACCCAAAGTTATACAGACATCTATCTTATCGAGATGAAGTTAGCTAGGTTAATTTAGAATTGATTTTTTTCCTTGACTTCTGAAGTTTTTAAGGTTGAATGTAGACTCTTAGCAACTCTCAGCATCAAGAGTTAACAAAGACTCACTAAACAACTATAAATCTGGACAATATCTTATAAACATACCTGTCATGGAAGTTACTATCTCCTAATTTCTCACGTAAATCACAGTGATTTTTAATATGCTCATGGCTTTCACGAACCACCTTTTGAAACATCTCTTTCTGAAAAATAAAGATAATTGCGTTTATCTATCATTGCAACAATACATCTTGAGATAAGATTGCAAAACCATCTTCTGTAATAGTTTAATGTTACTGTTTTCCTAAACCCAGGACTTTATTTACTTACTGAGTTAACAAATCTTGAAAAACACATTTTGCTGAAACAGAAATGGCTATGTACTTCATGGAGAAAAAAAAAAGATATTGATATTCAGTTTCCCAAAATAAGAATTCATTTGTGATTAAATGGCATATTTTACAAGCACAAGCCAAAGAGAGATCATCAAAGGTATTTTATAGAGCTAAGTTTGATTGGTCAGTGTGTGTGTGTGGGGGGGGGGGAGGTGGCATTTTTAATAATATAGCCTTTTTACATAAACAGCAAATACAGAGATAAAGATATAAGTATAGAAATATAGATATGTATTAAGAAGTCACAATGTAATAAAAGCATGTACTAGCCTTGAATATAGTAAAACACTCCACAAATACATTTTAAAGTTAATCACATGGAATTCTCAGTGCTAACTGCAAATTTGAAGACTTCTTGAACCTGTAAATAAATTCCAGGGGGAGGATACGGGTGACCTCGCAGGCTTAGCTCTTTGGTAAGAGCACAAAATCCGGTCACCTGATTCTAATAACCAGTGTTTGTCATAGTAAAAATTTTACCAGACTTGCAAACTGTTTACTTGGATTTAACCCTTAGCCCTGGCCTTACTGCCTGTGTGACATTGGGCAAGTCATTTAAAGTTTCTGAAACTAATTACTTTCATCTACAAAATGTTGTTAGTGATTCTGGCATTGCTAATGTTACCAGGCTGTTAAGAGGATCCAATAGAACACTGGCTGTAAAGTTGCTTTGTTAACTCTAAACATCCATGCTCCTGTAAGGTACTATTATCATAATGACTATTGTGGAGGTTGGCTGGTGCTGCTATGAGAGGCTGCTAACCTACAGGAGACTAAATCACTTTCATTTATCTTCCCTTTGGGGACAGGAAGATGCTAGTGTACCTGCCTGAGCTCAGACAGGACAAGAGATGCCTTCGTTTTCCACCAGACCCCCATCTCTCTCTCTGTAAATATGTAAACCATCGATTAGAATAACAAAAGCCAGAGCTACCTGGCTCCTGGTAACCCTAAATAACTAATCATCTGGTCAGATTTGTATGGTCATCTGCTTTTTTCATGTTAAATGTGTAACAGGAGCTGCTGCCTTTAAACAATAAGATTTCTAACCTGAAATAGGAACAATTTCCTGACCTGCTTGGTGGAAATAGTTGACCTTCTCAAGCCCTACTAGGCTATACTTTCATGTTACCTTCTATTGTACCAAGATGACTTTCACTTTAAAGAGGAGATTGCACGGAGAAGGTTCCGAGAAGCACAGACTCTATAAGACAGTGTGTATGATTTGTGTGTATGATTTGCATAAAGAATTGCCACAGTATGATGATATGGCCTTTGTTTTAGATGGAAATCGTATTTCTTATGCAGTGCTAGCAATTAGCAAGAACATGCATAATCATCTTACTAACAGCACTGTAATTTTTCCTATGTTTGTAATCACTTATGTATTAAGTAAAAGGTTGAAAAATAAAAGGGCATTTACCCCATGGCTATAGCATTCCAGAGGATTTTCTAATTTACAGCATTTTTCCAATAAATTTTGATATACTATAACCACTCTCAAAATCACTGGAAGTGCCAACTCTGGATGCCTTCTTGAATATTCATAAAGAAACCTGTAGCCATATGAAACATATTAGAAAGTAAACAGTAAAAGTCAAAGGCCATTAGTATTCTTTCAAAGCCAATTATAATTAAGAAATGTATTAACTATTTTAACTGACCTTAAGACATTTGGAAACCTTGGGAGGCTGGTAGTTTTATTGACTACATTTTGAGATAAGTATTCCAAATCGATAAAATTATGTAATTTTTTCAAAGTCACACAGTAGTGAGTGGCAGATCCAGAACGTGAACCTAAAATATCTTGATTGGCTGATAGCTCTTGGACCAGGATCTCTACTTACTTTTACTAGAAATTAATTTCAAGTGTTTGGGTTAGAATATATTTTTCTCAATGATCTCTGAGGCTAGATTTTATAAGTATTACAATTCTTTTGAAAGAAAGTGCTAGCTACATATTAATTCACCGTCTTACTTTCTTTTCCACATAAACCTCCAAGCATGAGTAGTTCATGCACAATCTACACATTCTTCTGGGTTAAAAGAAAGGAAAAATTGGACTCTAGAACATTTCCAAAGGAACTATAGAATCATAGGAAGCACCTTAGCAGTGGCCTTATCCAAACACTTCAGTTTTACAGCTGGAACACAAAAACCTGGAGCAATTAAGTGGCTTAATCTACATTCCAAAGTTTACACATGACAAAGCTAAACTGGAATTCAGGTCCCCAATTTAGAGTCTAATGTGATTTTCACTAGGAAATCATGCCTATCAACTTTTTCGATATCAAATACAAGTTTAGAAATAAGTGGGTTCAGGAAGTGACATTTACTTTTACAAGGCATTATCAAATGTAATTTCAGAAATATAGCCGTAGTCATTCAACAAAGAACTTTAAAGAAAACTCAAATTCTTATGCTTTGTTGGAATGTAGTTGCTCCAAATGTTTCACAAAGTGACTTCAGAAATATTTCAATCATACAGCAATATTGCCTTAATACTATATATTGAAATCAATTTGTCTTATGCACAAATAGATACACACTTCTGAATGGACACAAGAGATCTTAATACTCCATCTCTCTAATCTTTAAATGCCACACCAATGGTTTTGGTAGTAGATATTAAATTAATTAGAAGAGCTTACTAGGTATATTAATCTGAAGCTCTTACTAAGAGATAACTCTAAGACCCTTAGAGCAAAGTTTGCAAACACTGGACATCCACTACGTTTTTAAAATTTCCTGTTATTTGTTAACATTTAAAAATCTAAAGACTTCCAGCTTCTCTCAAAATGGAGTATATCCAACCATCCAAAGCCTGCATTCCATATAGTAATTAGTGGCTGAAGCTATATGGCAGCTGCTGTGGACGAAAAAGGGGCCACTTACTAAACGTGGAAAAAGGGGAGGCCAGCATGATGGGCCTTACAAACTCAGAGAACAAAATTAATCATGTAGGGTGGTCTGAACATATAAATTCCTACCTAAAAGCAGGTCATGGCAGGTAGTCACATCCTGGGCCTAACTTTCTTGACAAAGTTCAGTTTTTACCTAAGTGAGCCTGTCTTTTGTCTTTTTTGCATTTAACAAACTCTTGGAATGTCACAATAATCTTTTTCCGGCCCCTGAAGGCACAACAAACCGCAGGAGACCACAGAATCCTTCATTGTTAACTTGTTCCCCAAATACCATCTATAAGTGTTGTTAATGTTAATTATTAACTAACCCACCAATGTAAAAGAAGTTCATGTCTCTGTTTTACTTCTTATCCAATCCTGGAGATTTCCCCACTTTCTTTCTCCCAACTCCTTGATCTATTACCAATGGGGTTCATGTAATCCTCCTTACATGTCTTCCTTTAATTCTAATGTGTAAAATAAACTGCAAAACTGCCATTCTCTGGAGCATTTTCTCAATCTGTTGAGATTTTGCTTCTCGGCAGCTGTCATCATCAGTTTGGCTCAAATAAACTCATTAAAATTCTCTACAGTTTGGACGTTTCTTATGTCAACACTGCCAATTTGGGACTTCACAAAACATCTCTTGGTCACAGTTCCTATGTAGGCACTCATTTACATCACTGGCTAACCTCTGTCATCATGTAAGTTTACAACTCCATATAATATTCCAAATAATTCATAAATATAATATTCCATCATTAAGATTTTACAAAAATCTATATTACTCTTGTAGGAAATCGTCTTGCTTGTCAGTGAATTGTTTGCATACAAATCGGTCTTCTGTAAACCTGCTGAGTGGCCCAGAGGAAAGATCAGGTTTTTCATCATTTTCTGAGTTGATAATGCATTCCCCTCGGAATGGCGCTGGCAGTGCACAGCATGGAGTGATCTTGCTGGATAGGATAGCCTGTTTAGAGCAGGTATAGTTCATGAGCTGGCTCTATAAAACATAAAAGGTAACAGTTATTTTTGATGACTTCATTCTGAACTTATTTATTTTTATCAGTAGTAGAAACCAGAGAAAAAACTTTACATCTTATATTGCTTTATCTTTGACAAACTGAAAGACCAAAAAAGTCATTTATAGTGACTCATTCTAATAAGAAAAGCTTATTTCTCTATTTGAGCTTACTCGAGTGTCTTTTAACATCTCTTGTTAAGGGTGGAAAATTTTCAAGTGAGCCAACTAGCTAAGTCAGCTACAGGGAAGAAATATCTTTAGATACCAGAAGTTGCCCTACTTGCTTGGGTGTGGGTTAGGAACTGTATTGTATAAGATATGAAGATGGCCAATGTCTGCTTCTGTAATCCACTTACTTGTTAATTAAGGGTGTGGTTCGGGGCAAAGATATGCTAACAGCCGACTTCTGCTTCTGTAATCTGCTTGCTTGTTCAGAAGACCACCAGGATATGGTCTTAAGCTTTATAAGCTGCCTCCTCTGAAAGCTGGGGCTGATCTCCTCTAACCCTGCGTGGTAGAGAGCCAGTCACCGGCTGGCTAATAAAGGCTCATAATTAATCTCAATTGGCTCCGTGGGTCTCAGAATCGTTTGCGCCATAACACTCTTAAAGAACTTTAAAGGGAGATAGACCATATTATTGTTTCCATGTTTAGTCCAATGAAATACAAATGAAGACTTTTATTGTCTTGCTTTTGTTTGTATTGTTTAAGAAACATTTATCCCTTGTCATTTATTGTATGTATTACTATTATATTACTATAATATTACTATTATACTTACTATTTAACATATCTACTTATACATCATGCACACAAATAATTGTGTGTGTGTGTGAATAAGCTAGCCTCTACACTTAAGGAACTCACAATCTAGTTGGAGAATCAAATAATTAAACAATAATAATAGAAGTTGTAATAGAAGTAGCATATTTGATACTTTGGAAGAAAAAAGAGATTTGCAATCTAGACCAAATGGAGATCAGAGCAAAAATCTTGAACAATTTGAGTCTTGAAAGACAAATGGAAGTTAAATGGAAACAAAGAGGAAGAGCATTCTAGAATTATTCATCCTTGTATGTAAAGAATCTTAGAAGTGAGAGAACATGATACATTTGCGAAATGATGTATAGGATATTTGGAGGCTATCGAGAAAATTTAGTTGAGAAATGATAAGGCTTGAACCAAAGGAATAGTTGAGTATACTTAAGAGCTACTGAGAAGTAGAATTGACAAGATTTTAAAATACCATAATTAGATTGGAGGCAGGGGGTGAGGTGAGGACAAAGAATCTAGAATGGTATAAGACTCTGGGTTGATGGTATCAATTTACCGAAACTGATATTCAAGAGAAAAAAACAGATTTGAAGAGGATGGCTAAAAAGGGAAACCAAAGAGTCCAATGCTGGAATATAGAGTTAAGATGATTTAAGGCATTTATTAGGCGTCTTCGTGGAGAGTTCCTCTAAGCAGTTGGCACGGTAGATTAAGGACTCTGGAAAGAATGGGCCAAAGGTGTAGATCTCTGTCATAAGTTGAAGCTACATTATGGGTTCAGGTTGAGACTGATAAGAAAAGAGTGTGTGCATTAGTTAAGTAACTAGCAAGCTCTCAGTGTCTTAATGGAACCAAGTTTTTTTCTATCTCAATTAAGTCCTATTGTGAAGGGAGGAGTAGTGCCTCTAGGCAGTAGTTCAGGGAATCAGACTGACAGAGCCTCTGTCATCTTCAAGGGATGGCTTCTAATATTGCCTTCAGGTTGTGGGTGTTTGGGCCAGGAGATTTTTATGGGCCAGGCTTAGAAATGACATAAATCACTTCTGACCAGAACTCAGTCAGGTGGCCCCACCTAGTTGCAAGACAGACAAGAAATGTAATTCTTGGCCCAGCAACTTCTACACCATGGAAAAGGAGAATGAATTCTTGCTGATGGCTAGCCGGCTCTTAGTAATGTTTAAAATAAGAAAGGAAAAGACCCAGACTAGATCTATTGGGAAAGCCAATTTTCAAAGTGTAGTAGAAGAGGGGAAGACAACTGATAAAAATAACTGTAAGAACACAAGCATTACAGGCAGATGAAAAACTTCTACCATCTATTGTCTTCTAGATAGCACCTTTGCAGGCATCACTAGAAAAATGAACTAGTACAGTGGTTGACAGCTGTAGCTCTAAACTCGGACAGTCTGAGTTCTAATCCTGGTTTTGCTACTTCCTAACTGTGTGACCTAGGCAAGAAACTTTACATCATTGTGCCTCAATTTCCTAATCTATAAAATGGGGATAAAATAATACTTACTTTCTAAGGTTGTAGGAATTAAATGAGTTAATATTTATTAAGAACAAAGAAAGAAGCCTAGCTCAGAGTAAGTGATAAAATAATGTTTGTCAAATAAAAATGAAATGCTTAGAATTAGTGTCTGACACACAAAAAAATGTTTTTTTAAAAGCTAGTATTATAGCAATTATTATACATTTCTAGAATGTTGGTTTAATAACGCCTTGAAGTCAAAGAGAGAAAACCTTGTAAAATTGAATCGTGTTGACTGAGCGATACAATAGACTGATAAACTATATTAATTTATATCACTTAATATTAAAAGTTAATCTATTATAAGCATATTTGCTTTGTGAGTCAGAGTGATATTTTGACCATGGTATGATATAATGAGCACTAATAAAAACAGAAAACTTTCTAGGACACACAACTCAAATGTATACAATCCATACACATTTCTGAAAGCATTAGGAAAAATACCCTAATCATAAGAGAATTAAATCAATATTAAAAAAAAAAAAACAGTGGAATATAATGTATAAAAGAAATGATAGTTCAAGTGAAATAATTATTTTAACAAAATTATTTAAAAATAATGAGTATAAACAAAGAAGTCAACCAAAACAATCAAGATAAAAGCATCTAAGAAAATTTGAGAGAATTAGTAAATTAAAAGCAGAAACACAGTAGAATTGATAAATAAGTCCAAGAACTTTGTCTCAGAAAAGAGCAGTAAATTAAACAGTCCTTTCTCAAAGCTAATTAATTTAAGAAGAAAACACAAATACATGGGTAAAAGAAAGTATAATTACATAATTGATTTTTTAATTATCAAATAATATTATTATTATTATTATTTGTAGAACTCTATTCTTAGATGAGAAAATGCAGAAGGAGACTTTTCAAGGAAAATGTATATTTAAAACCTTTTCTTTCTCATTCTCATATAACATATCAATTGTAGATACCAGAAACAAAATTCCAATATTAGCTGACCTGTATTGATTTTTTAATTATCAAATAATATTATTATTATTATTATTATTTGTAGAACTCTATTCTTAGATGAGAAAATGCAGAAGGAGACTTTTCAAGGAAAATGTATATTTAAAACCTTGACAAAAAATAAGTACATTCTCATTATTCTCATTTGTTATATAAATACTGAATTCGAGGGTGGAGGGTTGGCGGGAACTGAATCATCAACCCTAGGGGAAACACAGGGTTAGATTCCTGCAAGTCTCTGGGCACATTTTTCGTCAACAGATAAAGACATAACCTTGTTTTATGTATCTTTCTGTTTAAAGACACCTTATTTAATATATATTGGTGATCTATTCACATTGAACTCACAGCCACCGGCACCGTTATTCATTCATGAACAAAGCTTATTTAGTACAAGTATTTTTTCCCCAACCCACATCACGGTCTTCTTGTGCTTAGAACAGTAGACCACTCAGCACTACCCTTGAGGCCATTTTAAACAGCTAAATCACCAAGAAAAGGCACAAAAATGAGGACAATGTGGCATTAAATAGACTGCAAAAAGGACATATTTACAGTATAAGAGCTAGAACAAGAAGGCCAAATATCATCTTGGTTGGTTCCATCTCAGCTGGGACTACATGTATCAGGTGATCCAAATTTTCCACTGCTCTGAGCATGCACAAGTCTGTGAATTACCACAAAAGTGCTGTGAATATTGATTTTGGAGTTCCAAATAAATTTTGACAATTAGGTGAATTCATAAGTACAGAATTTGTGAATAATGAGGATGGACTGAAAAATGCAAAAATAAATTCATAACAAAAGAAATGAAGACGCTGTCATACCAGCTTCTAATTTTATCTTTCCTTATTTCACAGACAAGTTCTTTTAAATCTTCACAAAACAAATAAATCTCAATACAATATAATTTATTTCAGAAAAATTAAAAGGAAAAAATTCTAAATCTTTTTTTAGGAATTAGCATAACTGATACCAAAATCTGATAAGTGGTAATTACTTTTTTAAATTCATTATATACCATTGTCGCCTTTATTTAAGAATTATTTTAAGGGCTGAACTAAGTTTGAAGAAAAGAGAAGATCTTACCCTGCCAAACACACATGCTACTGCATTTCCATCACAACAGGTCTGATGTAGATTTTTAATATCAATGGCCAATTTGGCAATTTCAGAAAAGTTAGCTTTAGGTTGTTTTTTAGTCAGCAGAACCAATTCCCTGAAAAGAAAAATAAGTACATTTTAAACAATATTTTGAATTAAATTCTTTCCAAAATTAGTTCTAGCTCATTGAGTAACCAAAAGAACAAAAACACAGTTGCAAATGTAGGGCGAGGAGGATATTATAAATGCTTTCTATTTCTCAGTGATAGCACCCACAGTCGTACATGATCTGTCACAAAACAAATACGATTCAACACGTAATCAAGGAATATAGTCATTTTAATCATTTAAATTATTGCTTAAGGAAGTTCAGTTGCTTAGAAAGATAATTTGGATATTTATCTGACCTGACTTTCCAAGTAAAATTTTTCATCATAAAAAAAAATATTACAGGAGGCTTGGGTCTCCTTTGCCTTTCTTTGCTGACAACTGAGCACATCCCTTTAATTTCTCAGGAAATAGGGGAAATGGGCCTGCCTCATAAGGAGAACTGAGCTTCCAGACAGCCCAATGTCATCCTTAATTGGGGGAGAAAGTGATATAAGGAAGACGCATGTCTTCCAGTGTCGAATTGAACAGAAACTCACAATCTGGGCCAGGAAAGAGGCACGTTGAGTAAGATCAGATTCTCCTCCCACCCTAAACCCTTACAGCCCCTCCCAAAAAACACCACTGCTTTTTGTGTTCTGCATAATATTGGAGCCAAAATCTTTCCTATCTTCCAAGAGAAAAGAATACCTTTCAGCCTCCAGCCTTTACTATGCAGAACAATTAAGTGCCTGAATCTGAATGTACAGAATATTTGTGCACTAGGAAGAGACTAAGGAATTTGAGAAGATGGAAGAAATTGAGGCAGGAGATAAAGGGTGAAGGTGAGGATTGTGTAATTTCATGCACTATCTAGCCTATCAAACGCTAGTAGCCTATTTTGGTTTCATAGTAATATTCGTAATAAATTAATATTCATAATAACAATAAACCTAGCCTATTGAACAGGCTAGTAGCGTACATGTAGAGAAAGGAGCCAGGACTGAGAGATATTATTAAACAAAAGATAAATGATTTTTCAAATGAGTTTAACCAAAAGGGGTGATCCAACTGTGATGAAGTCCACAAATCTAAATAGATAACTTACACTGCTTTTGCTACTTTGTGGTTGAATTTAATTCCAATTTCACATAAATGGTGGTGCCTCAAAGATATTTCTTTAATGTATTTTCTGATGGGTTCTAGCTGTAATTAGAAAAACAACTCATCTAAGAAATATGGCAGAACAACAAAAAAGTTAATTTTATCATAAGTGAAGAAGAGAGAAAAGTAAAAATTGTGTATCTACTAAAAATTAGAAAGTTTTTAGTGTCTTATTTAAAAGATGCCAAATGCAATAGCATAATGCATTACTGTTTATCGATAATATGTGCTACAGTTTTGCTATACATATTAATGAAGTGCCCCTGCCCCAAATATGTTCATATTCTTTAACTAGGGATTTTTTATTTTTGTAAGTATTGCAAACAAACTTTTCAAGATAAAAACATAATAATGAAAAAGAAAAACATGCATGTTTTGTTATGATAGCAAAAATTTGGAGACAAATAAAATGTCTCAACAGAAGGGTGATGATTAAATAAATAATGGCACATTATTTTTGAAAAGATATGTATTTCTAATAAAAAGTATGTTTAATCTATAATCAAAACTATATATTCAGTGTGATTACAACAATCTACAAAATAAAATTTATAAATGAAAAGATGAATAAAAGAAAATATACCAAAATTGATATCTCTGTATGGTAGAAATATAAGTAATATTTTAAAATTTCAGAAAAGTTCTATTTTTTCACTTAAAACATTATATTGATCATATAGTATTTTTACTTTAGGTACTCACGCTTTAAAAAGCTTTTTTTAAGAACACGTTAGAAAATATATACAAAGTAAATATTCAAACCAAAAAACTGGCAAAATAATTGTAATTATATTTTATAATTAATTATAAATATAAGTATTTTTATCCTTATTTTGTTATATTATACTCATTTGAAATTAAACACAAACAAGCTTATCTACTTCATAAGAGACTATCTGAGAACTTAACTCATAAAATTGTATCTAATCACTGACACAATTTTTTTGCACAATTGTTTATGTATTTTTTTTCTAAGGATGGAGTCAAAACTGCTAGGAACAGACATCCTGGAAGCAGCAAGACTATAAACATCACAAAGTGAGGAAGAGGAGGAAAGAACTTTTAGTTAACTTATAAGCATCTGTTTATGCTTAAGAGCAAGTGGCATGTTACACATTAAGGAAAAATTTCCACTGAAGAGGATTAAGGTTAAAAAAACTTTATAACTTAAATTAATAAGTGCCAAGTTATCTACAAAACTCATCTTAATGAAAAGCTAATTTTTCAGAAATTCCAAGTAATGAAACGTAAGTCTGCATGATTACTTGCTTTTAGTGTTTAATTAATATGAAACCAAAGAAGAGAAAGAGAGAGAAAAAAAAAAGACTGTTCTGCTTAGGAATTCAGAATTGGCTTCAGAAGGAATTGGAGTTCACCACAGAAAGAATGGAGAGGGAGGTAAATATAAATATATGATAATAGCTACAGTTATTGAATACTTAGCATATGTCAGCAACTCTTTAGCTACATTATTTAATATCTTACACAAGGGAGACAACGAAGAGCTCAATAGAAAAAATAGGTTTAGAAGAATAGAGAAATAGGGGATTAAAGGAATATGAAATAAATTCTCACTGAATAGAGCAAAGAAAACAGCAAGGAAAAAGTGGCTCTGCATTTAGCTTTGATTATGCTTCCTAAATTTTAATGACTATACAAATTGCCCAGTTATCTTGTTAAAATGAAATTCTATTTAGTAGGTCTGGAGAAAAACTTAGATTCTACATTTCTAACAAGATGCCAGGTGATGCATATGTTGCTAGTCCATAGTCCACACTTTCTACAGCAAGGCCCTAAATAATAGTTAACAAATGAATATTTTACCTTTATTTGGAAGCATTCAGTCTTATTTTCTTCTTGGCAACATGACTGAATAGCTGTTTCATAGCAAGCAGACATCGTCAGAATAGTGGGTCCATATAAGAATGGATGTTTTCTAGAAGTTTCATAAATATACCTATAATGTGACAAATATGAAGATGTGTAATTTGGAATTCAAAAATATGTGCTGATGCCGTTTCATAAAAACTTAGGATTCATTAATTTTGTTGACCTGAAAATTTTAGAACATTATGGTGAAAGAGATGAGATAGCACTATACTTAAACGCATCGAATGTTCACTATGGACAGATCATGGTAAGATTAGTCAGTCTTTTGCCGAGTGCCCACAAAGTGACCTAGCTGTACCTTCTAAGCCAGTGGGGAAATAAACCAATACTCAAAACGTTTCATTCTTATATAAATAGTAGAAGATAGAAAGTTAAATGTCAAAACTGAAGTTTTGTAGATGCAGGATTGTACAGGAGGGAATTAAATTTAGAAGCCATTGGTGGGTGGAGAGGAGTCTCTCAAGATCAAGTTCTTTCTGAACTACAAAAGTTACTATGCTATCTTTTGATTAAGTCCAAAAATAGCTGACTTTTTCTCCAGCTTTGATATAAATTACTGTTTCCTTAATTGAGAATTAAGTAAAGTTCTTGATTTATAATTATGAGGCAAGTAGGTAGAAATCTATTTTTCCCTTGAATATTTATGGTTGTATGTATATAAGTTAAAATCAGCACATAAAATTACTCCTTAATTACTGACTTCATTGTAACTATTCAAGAAGAGGTTAGATTCACTGCCTGAGTATTGGTTAGACTTTTTAATCCCTGAATATTCAACCTAAATCTGATTCTATACTTCTCACCTATAGTAGATAGCACTACAGTAAATAGGTAGCTAAGTTCACATTTTGATTTCCACTTGGTTGCCCAAAACCCCATTCCTTAGTCCTTTCTCCCTAAGTGGCTGGGGCCACTTAATTTTTTCTTGAAGGCTCTGTAGTCTCTGAGACAATTTTGGCCTTCTATGGGTAAGTGGAAGGAATTTAAGTTATTTAGCACCAAGTCATCCTATCTGCTCATTCATGTCTGTTCTAGAGTTTCGTGTCTAAAATCTGAAATCAAATCTCCACCGTGCTCCTTGCACTCTAGATCCAGCAATCAGATATTGGCCTTATTTCCATTGTCTGAGACTGTATTGAGAAGATGGCCAGAACCTCATTCCTTAAGAACTGAGGCCTGGTATTTATTTCTCTTGTCATCTCTACCTTTTTAAGTATTGATTTCCTGCCTCTAAACCCTGACCACTTACTAGCAACCCACTCTCAACAGATAGACTTCTACACTAACTAGAAAAACAAAATATAAGAGTGCCTACCCATTTGCTGTAATGCTATCCACTCCAGATGAGAATTATAGAATCGGAGTTACTGAGTCGAAAGCTCATCTCTGTCTAATCTACAGTTTTTACTTACTCCTAGGTCCCCAGCACTGACCATATTTCCATGCCTATCACACACCCTCTCTGCTATCCCTTGACGAACATCCTAAATATCAACACCCTGCCTGAGCTCTCTGTCCCTAGTCCTCTCTTTTTCTTATGCTTTGCCTACTTGACTATATCTTTCAAAGTAATTTGCTACTGGTCTGACCAATCTAATTCTTAAGGAGATGGGTCCTTTACAGGTACTAGTCATTTTTCATGTTTCATGGCACAGACATATCCATGCCCTTTTCAGTTCCTAAGACCATAATTGTGATCCTGAGGGAGAAAAAAATATATCTTAGCTCAAATCTTCACTTTAATTTCATATAATAAAGCATTCTATTTGTAAAAAAAAAAAAAAGACCTGTCTTCAAAATTGGAAAATACTCTTCTTCAAAGACAACGGTAAGGAAAAATGACTTACCTCTCTTTCACTGACACTTGATTTTCTTTGTCTATCTCACAGACTGGCTCAGGATTTGGAATTTGGAATATATCACTGTGACTTGAATCACCTTTTTTGTATAATAGGAAGCACTTGTGTCTTGCTGTGTTGTTTTTATTGCAACAGTTGGAAAACACATGTTTATCAGCCACCCCTTGGTTATTACAAATATGCTCTAAGAAGTTAGTCATCTGTAGGAGGAAATAAGAACTTAAAGAGGACACTTGTATGGTCTACATTCCTAACCACAGGAAAGGTAAGAGATGATTATTTTTAAAAAAGCAACTGAGTGTATAATATTACACCTTGAATCCAGTAGGCTTGGATGTAGCTCTTTTGAGCAAAAGCCTTTTAGATTTTTAAGTCTAAATTCTCGCATTCTGAACAATGACCAAATAGAATTTATCATTCTCTTCTTTCCCATGTAATTGCTTCATTTTCATATAGTTGATAGTTATTAATATAAACATAAGCCAGAATATACAGGGCCTAAAAAATCAAAGTATTTTTAATGAGAACCGTTAGGTAGCTAGTCAGACAGGAGTGACAGGGGAACAAAGGAATGGGGGCCTGGCCTAGGGACCACCCAAAGAACACTATTGGTAGTTAGAGAATCTCTCCTGCATCCCTGAGACAAAGGAAAGGAGGGTCATAGTCTTTGCTGGCCTAATCTGGCCACAGACACCTGTGCAGAAGGTCAATATAATACTATGGTTATGCCTGAAGTTCATGAATCTAATTATAACAGACTGAATTCTGGGTAAGCACATGCACACTAGGCAAAGTTACATAGCAACCAGGCGTCAGTCAAAATGACCTCACCTGCCAATCACCTAGGAACACCTTTAGAACCACCCATCACAGCCCCCTAATACAAGGCAGACCTCTCTCTTTCCCGGGGTTACAGCTCTCCATCCTCCCTGGCTGTAACTGGTACCTCCCTCAGGGGTACATAACCTCATTTCCATGTTGCTAGCCAGTTTTAGGCTGGACCTGTCTTCTACCTCATACTATGATTTTAATAAACAAATACTTCTCATACTCACTGGGTTGAAAATCATTTGTTCAGCAGTGAAAAGGCCCTAGAGGTGTGTTACAGGAACTCCAAATGCTCCAACAGTAACAGGACTAAGTACCAAGAAGTAGATGGTAGGGTGCTTTCCTTGCTTCCTAATTGTTTTCAGTTTGGTTTCTATGGGAACTTTTTTTAAGGATTGAACCCTGAAACAATGTGTATTCAGTGTCAAGTATTCAAATGGAAATGTGATAATTCAGTTAGTCTTCAAATATCTTTAGGTGGCAGTAAATGTGTGGAATGCTATAAACCTCAAATTGATATGGGCCATCACCTGCAAAATTCTTAATCTTTTTAGTAAACCTAGTTGTGTGGAGAAAGAAAAATAATCATAATCAGGCTTCCTCCCACACCCGTAGCTAACTTCCGAGCAGAAGAAAACTCAGCACTTCTCCTTGTAAGTAACCACGTGCCCGGTACGCATGTGCGGGCTCCCATCATCTGGCAGTGTGCCACTATTGTTTAACCTATGTATGAAATGCACCACCGCCATGTGGGGTGCCCTTGCTGGAGAACTACCACCCTTGCTGGAATAAAAAGCTATGTCGCAGTTACCTACAGCTCCTCGCATTTTCTTCTAACTGCCCTAGTCATACCCCTTATCTCAGAACCCTGAAACTGTACCAATACACTAGTTAAGTCTTTTCTTTCCTCTTTTCTTTGGAGAAAGACCCTCTCCCTTGGACTTAGATAATTACCTTGAAACTGGGACTCAGGTCCTCTGGCTACTGATAAGGATCTTTGAAACTCAACATTCTCCTTGGCCCATTATAAGGCAGGAATGGCTTTAAGCCAAAACAGCACCTTTAGAGTCCAAGAAGGGAGAAAGGAGGAGACCTTTAACCCAAGGTTTCTTCTTTTTTTCCTTTTACAAAATATATTAACCAAGCTTGTTTTCCTTTACCTGTTTGATGGGCAAATTAATAATACAAACATAACTAGATATATGATTCAAATAACAAGTTTGTATCTTCTTTTTGTTCCTTGTCCAGGGACAGAGGCGGCATTTAGGCAGGAAACCCAAGACCCCATTCTGACTGAGACAGAGATGGAAAGAGTTCCATGACCAATAGGCAGGCAGGGACCATGACCCTCCTCAGCAGAAAGCAGATACAGAAGAAGAGAATTCCTGTCCCTCAACATCCATACTAATAAAAAGGGGTTCATAGCTCTTAGGAAAAGGTTAGGAAGGAAAGTTGGAAAGGGGATTTTGGATGTGCCTGGAAAACACTGAGGCCATCCTGTTCTAGAAAAGACCACCCACAATTAAGCAAGCCAGAAGGCATTTTGGGGCTAAAAGTAACTCATACAAGGAAACAAGTGAGCAGATAATTGGGTACTAGTTTCACCAGTCACTCGCACCTGCACAATGAAGACCCCAACGACCTATGATTCACCTGAGCCTCATTATACCACCATTAACCGACTGAATTCTGGAAATGAACATGTGCAGAAAGTAAATGATGAGTTATTGAGTCCCATCCATTTTAATTATCCCTTAAGAAAGCCTTCCCCTCCAAGAAAAGTAACCACTCACAATAAGTAGGGATAAAAACCCCAAAGGCTTTGTTACCAGGCCCTTGAGTCACCCTTCTCTTGCTCGGGCCTTCTTCCATGTCTAGAACTGTTGTTTTACTCTACCTTCTAATAAAGCTATTCTTTTGCTGTTTTACTTACTCAATTTTGTTCGAGACATCGAACTTAGACAATGTGTCAAGAGGGAAACGGAACTCCCCTCTCCAGTAACAAAATGACATGTTTTTAGATTTGGGGCATAAGGGCATAAAACATTCATCTTTTGCAATGGAAATAAGAAATCACTATAAAATTAAGTGAGAATAGCCACTGGCAAAAGTACTTCATTTAAAACGTGTTTCAAATAAGACTGATGATTTTTCTGTCTACTTTGAGTCTGATAAAAGATAGGTAGGTTTTAGCTCCGAAGAAGATGAAGTAAAAATATCTATAAAGAAGAAACTTACTCATTTATATTTTGTTTTTCATGAGAATAATTGATCAAAATATATAGAGAGATGGATAGATGGTAAGAATATGTTAGTATTTTTCAAAAATTTGCTAATCACAAGATAGACATACTTTATAATAGACAATTGTAATGCCCAAGATTATCTACTAACTGGAAAAAAGAGCCCATAATAATATGTGTGTCTTCTTTTTCATATTCTCTAAGAAACTTTTTAAAGTTAATATTCAATTTCCCAGGAATCTTTATACAAGGATGTCAGACAATAGTAATTTAGTGATGGAAGCAGAGCAACCAACTTAACAAACTGACATTCTAGGCCCTAATTAATTCTCTTGAGTGTTGGTTCATCTTCTAGAGATGAACTAATAAACTATAGGTTAATAAACCTACAAAGATTATGTCTTGAGTATGAATCATGTACATATGGTTGGCTTACAATCCTCTTACTAATTATTCAACCAGCCCCCTCATAACAACACTTTTTGGTTACAATTTAGCCGAGAGAGAGACAGAGACACAGAGAGACAGAGAGACAGAGACAGAGAGACAGAGACAGAGAGACAGAGAGAGACAGAACTTGATTTACCAACCAACTGGTAAGAGCATTCTGAAGGTGACTCAAGTAGCTTGAGGCTCTTGCACTTCTCTGCAAAATTCAGCAACTCTTTAACTATGGTTTGTACTTCTTCAAAAGTCGATTTCTGAAGAAACTGAGCAACCATAATGCTAACACTGAAATAACAAAATTCTGTATGTTAAAGATAGAATTAAACTATTTTCCTTCATCATTCTTTGTTATATCACTGCCCCACTCCCCTCTCCATAAATTATTAATGCAAATTCAAATTTCAGACAGAAGAATATTTGTTATAAAACTCACATGTCTCTTAAGTTCTCCTCCAAATAATTCTGGCTATTAGTGTGCTGCATGGCTGAAAAAAAAGTGAGATTTTATATGTATAAGAAGAAATTTTCCGAAATGAAATCCCCTTTTACAATTCTGAAACCTGTGTTGACCTACTCAGATCTATTTTTGGTTATCATAATAAATTAGAACAAATTATCAGAATATATCCTCACTGGTATTTAAACTGAATTCTGTGAATGACTTACTTCTATTCAAATATATTGTGTAGTTAAAATATATCATTGAGTTACAAATAAGTTACATGTACTTGTGTTAACACTTCTGAATTAATTGAACTCGATGATTTGATTATTTAACTCTTTACTTTGTAGGCTACTAGCACACCCAAAAAATATTAAGAGAGAGTTTAGCTTTGGGAACAAAAGTGTAAACATTAACACTTTGTCAGGCATAATTTGGCAAAAGCAGTATCTCGCACATCTTGGACTTGCTCATCATCTTCATCTTCCTTAGCACCCCTACCCACAACACACACATATGCATGTTCTCTATTGAAAACAATGCTTTCTTACACTAACAGCTTCTAAAGGTCTTAGCTTCTATTTATTAAATAAAGAAACCACTATTATTCACTATATTAACATAAGAAAAGGCTTTAAAGACAGCTATTCTGGGTTCTCCTTCTAGATCTGGCCTTGGGAAGATAACTTAAGCTCTCAGAGTTTGTTTCTCTATAAAATGTAGAGAAACTTTGGGTGGTTGTCAGAATTAAATGAAATCATGTGTGTGAAGCATGGAGCACATTGCCTAGCTTTTAATAATGAAGCTCTAATATTATTCCTGCTACTGTAAATACTGTTGCTTTATCTAAAGTCATTTATCCAATTTCACATACAAGTTTGACATGTATCATTCTCTCACCTAGAGTTGAAGTAAGGCTAAAATAAGATCTTCTTGTGGGCTGCCTCAATAAATTAACTCTCTTTCTGCATTCATTCCATAGGTTAATTTTTAGCACTTTTCAATGACCCTATTGACAGTGATGAGCACTGAGAAAGATGTCTTTCCATATGCATTTCAGAAGTCATCATTTCTTACTCTAGGCCCATGAGACCTATAGATTGTAAATAGGATTCCCTACCTGCATCTAGAAAACTGCTCTGAAGAGTCTGGCACTTAACGTAGCTGAAGAAAAGAAAAGTTATGAGTCTAATAGTCTTCATTGTTTCAGACGAACCACTATAGAAGATGTTCTATCATTCATGAGAATCGAAGAATCCTTTTATAGTCTTTTCAAGTAATTACAATTAATAATTAAACTTTTTCTGTGGATATTTTTTTTCTAGGCCACTACGATCAAATTGAAGAAATTCATGACAATGAAAAAAATTGTTGATGGATAGCCATTCATTAATGAATACTAGATTTTAAAATGAGTCATGTCAATGTCCTTGTTTTTTCAAGATTACACCAGGTAGGCCTTTGTAATAAAGTAATCAATAAACACTTTTGGTAAATATCTCATTTCCCAGAAATGCCTGTTGACATGTACAAAGTTCTAAAGTGGCAAAAGAGAAGACAAACACATACTATGGCAGATTCAAATAAATGATGTAGGCCCTGGTTCCACTGCTAGGCTCATTTTTAAGCCCCTGGAGAGAGTAGGGAGCATAGGCCTCTGGAACAAACCTAAAGAAATGGGACCTAATTTATTGAATGCTTCCTGTGAGTCTGGTGCTTTTTATGATGATATAATAACAGTACTCTCATTCTTTGAATGAGGAATTAAGACTCAATCATATAATTTTTTCATGGACTCACAAGTAGAAATTCAGGTTTGTCTGACTTCAGAGTCCACAGCACCCAAAAGCTAGTATTAAAAGCTGAGGTCCCAACATTCCTCAGCTATTGTCTGCTTCACCTGTCATCCAGTTCTTGGGTCTAAGGCAGGAAACAGGTAATTGCTGATTAAATATAAACTCTAAGATAAATGTAAAGTCCAAGATTTTTGGAAATGGGAGATCACGGGTTACTACTTTAACTATTCCTGTCCTCAGTTTCCTCATTTATAGATGGAGGGTTTGGACCAGATAATTTCTAAGGCTGGCAGTCCATTGCCTGATTCTGCTACCCACATATTTTCATTTCTGGTCTCCTAGGCAAAGAAATATCACAAAAGAGATATATTTGCTAGAAAAACAACAAGACTGTTATTATTTAAATTTGGATGCATAGCTAATGGTAAAAAATATTGATGGCCATGTGTGATAGAAAGCCAGGATCAGCAAAGGGAAGACTATCTTTGGCAGGTTTTTTTTATGCTTTTTGGAGTCCTCTAAAACGTCTTAATGTTTAACATCTCTTCTGTTGTGCATCCTTAGAGCAATGGAACTATCTAAGCCTCCAGGAACTATTCGAAATGGACCTGTTATTCTATGGATGGTAAACCTCTGGATGAGTGCTGCTAGACTGTCACTCATTGCAGACATTACTAACTGATCACTGTGCTCTTTCTGCCTGAACTGAGTGAGACTCGGCCTTAGAATCATTCACAGCACAATGCCATAGGACGGCCACTATTGACTGATTAGCATTTAAGGGAAAAAGATATTGTATGTGTGCTAAACCAATTCTTTTAAAAATTTTTTGGACAAAATTAACTTCCCATAAAAACTATCCTCTCAGAGTAAGAAATTCTTGAAAACATTAAAAAATGTTAAGTCCTCTGCTAGTGACTAACAGTGGACTTTCAGACTTTTAGTGGGGATATTTAAGCAAAAGCAAGATAGTGGATTTTTTGATAGGACTCAATGACAGCACAGAATTTGTTCTCTAAGAGAATAAGGTCTTCACGCTGAACTTTAAGATAAAAAATAGGAGGTATATAAAACACACTGATGATTTTTTGATGATTTTAAATAAATATTTGCACAACAAAACTAATTCTTGTCCAAGTCATAAAAAAATAGAGTTCAAAGGAATCTTTTAAAAATCAAGACTGGATCCCTAGATCTTACCAAAAACCTTGGTCGTGACTCTATCACTAGACAGTTCTTCCTGCATCGAGTCTAGGTGTGTTCTATTTACCGGTCTGAGTTCTGTCTGAACAATACAGAGTGAGTGTGGCTTGTCCTCATTTTAACCCTCTCTTGTCCAGGTAAAATATGTGTTTTGAATAAACCATTTCTCTTCCTCTTTGCATCACAATGGTTACCTCCTTTTTATCAGTATGCTCTCTGGCACATCGATAGAGAGTTGTACGGCAATTTCCTCTGTGATAATTGAGTCTTGTGATGGCAGCACGTTTCTGGGGCTCTGGTTTCATATCTGCTGCTCTTAGCACACAGTATTGGACACATAGCAGAATCCAGTATTAGGTACAAATTGAATTAGCTAACTGTGCAGTTTCACTTCTGTTAGATGAACTTATTACCTTTATTTAAGTAAAACATTCTTCCTTGTTTAGTAAATGAGAGTGTTTGGAAAAATGATATAAGGACAAAATAGCTTCATGAATTCAATTGCTATTATCTGCCGGCCACTGTATTAGATACTTTACAACATAGTAAATTAAAATATTTCTCTAGAGCCTTTGTGACATGAAAATTATTCTTCCACCCTAAACAAAGAGATGGAGATGTAGGATACTGGTCTGGGGCCATACAGCAAGTTACTGGCAGAAGGAATTTGAAAAACTCCACCCCCATCTCACCTTGCACTTTCAGCTCATACTAAGTGCCTGTGCAATGTGCACTCACAGCAGAGGCCTTTTTCCATCTCTGTATCTATGATATGTGATTGTTCGCTTACTATCCTTGCCCCCCGCCCAGCAAGACATAAGAACCACATCTAATTGGCTCACCAATTTGTATCCACAATGTCCGACACACAGTAGCCATCTAATTAATATTTATTGAATAAATGAATAAGAATCCTAAAGATTATGCTCTAAATGCTAGACCAAAAGAACTCTGTGAATATTCTCTAGCATTATCTATTAAATGACCATCATCTTCAATTTCAAACTTTGAAATCCTAAAAACCTTAAAGTTTTAGAGAACAATAATGATGCTCAGGCCACAAGCACATGGTCAACCTTTATTTCCTGGCTTCCCAGTTTCTACCACTCCCTCTCCTTAGACATCACTGCTAAGCATTTACAGCTCCAACATAATTTTGGCTTGGAAGGGAGGCAGAGAAGAATCACTGTCGCTCTTTGCCCTCTCTAAATAACACATTTTACAAGGTATAAAACATGGCTATACCTGAGAGGTAATGTGTATTGGGGCTAAGAATATTGCTCTGAAATTAGAGGACTCAAACCTGGTTCTGCCCATTACTAGTCATGACAATGAACAAATTAGTTTATCTCCCCACGTCTCAGATTCCCTATTTGTAAAATGGGAATAGAAATAATGTCTACTTCATATAGTTCTTAGAATTAAATGAGATAATGCATGAAAAGTACCTAGGACAGTGTTTGTTAACATTGAAGACATTCAGCGCCAGCTAGAAACAGTAGTAGTAATAGTAGTAGCAGCGTCAGCAGCAATGCTGCATGGCCTCAACTCCCCACTTCCTTCCCAGTAGCAGCAAGAATGGGCATCTGTGATAATTTTGCCCACACAATTGCTCTTCGAGTCCTGTCTTCTACATGGTAGATTTAGCCGGTGAACCAAAGATGCAGGTAGAATGAATGAATTGTGATTGTTTAATTTTGTTATCAAGTTGACACATGACATCAGTCTTTGAGAAATAGCTTTATAATTTTGTTGTTTATTGCTTGCTGCAATAACATGATTTCAGGTAAAAGTTCCAGAGAATCTTTTTACTGTGTTCGTCAAAGAAAATGAAATTCACCACAGGACGGATGGAAGCAGATAAGATGGCCTTCCTCTCTTTTCTCGACAACCTGGAAAGAAAAAATATTATCTTCTGCAGCAAAAGAATATGAAATATTATAACTTTGGTGATGAAAAGTCACGTCTATAAAAAATTATCAATGGTAATTATGTTTTGCCTCTTGTAGTTCCAAATCTACTCTTTATGATGGCCCAGGTCTCTCTTCCCAGACATTGAACATCATCACTATATCTATGCAACATTTTGTTCCTGAAGTTTGTGTGTGAGTCTTACATAAACTGCAGAGGAGAAGGCATCCTTTATATATTTGAAATCACAAACATATCGCTTTTTGTTTATGTAAATACTGCAGCCAGACTCTTGGAACAGATCCACTGAGGCCTGTCTGCCATCCTAACCGCCTCCTCTCTGTCAACCTTTAGGTTTTTGATTGCTTCCGCTTTCTGGTCCACATGGCTGAGTGCAACAGCAGAAAGGCAGAGGAGTGGCTGCTTTTTGGCTACTTAGGATACTGCTTGAACAGTAAGAAGTGTCAGCATAAATGCAGCAGGACTAGCCTATAAGGAGTGGAAGATACCCAGGACCAATATTGGGGTCTGTTAGGTACAAGACATGTGGATTGAACCAGAAACAGACAGACATTGAAGCATGAGAGGGGAAAAGCCAGGGCAACCCAATAAGCTACAAATACATTTGGCATTTGATCAGGATAGAAAATATTACCTTTGCTGGTTTTTAATTTATATTTCTCAGGAAGCCCAGCTTTTGGCTGCCAATTTTGGACCCTGAGAGAGAGAAAATATAATGAATGAATGAATGAATGAAACATATAGGCAGAAAAAATTAAGACATTATTTAAATTTAGAGAAGTATGTTGCCTTGAATTTTGGAAAAAATTAAACTACTCACATATTGTCAGGGAGACTGTGAATACTCTTCTTCAAGTGAATTTGAGTTCAGACACCCCAGCTTTCTATGAACTGCAAGTGAATTTATCTCTTCCTTTACATGGCCTCAAGGTATGCATGCACTCAGGTAAATGCTAGGTATTGATTAATACTCTCTAATTACATTAAACATATTTTTAATAAACTAACAATATGAACCCCCAAAATTCTCACAGACTAAGCACTCTCTTGGAAAGTATAGAAGGTGCTCAACATAAGGAAAGCCATGTGTGAGAGTGTATGCCTGTGCGTGTGCATGAAGTGTGCGAGTGCGTGCGCACGGATTGTGAGTCTGGAGTGGAGTGGGTGTCACCAGGAAAGAAACTGTGAAAGAAAGTTTAAAGAGAGTGAAGAGGTACTTCCCACCCAATCACCCATGGAGGCTGACATTCAGAGGTCCCTGAGGATCCTGGAAGACAGGGTGAGTCCGTCACAGACACCAGTCACTAAAGTGAGAACAAGCAGGGACACATCTCCTTTCTCTTCCCCTGCTACCCTTACCTTACCTCCCACTTCCTCACATCATGCACGTGTATTCTCAAGTGAGGGATGTTAGGATAAGGCCCAGGAACATCGGATAGCCACCCCCTGAAAGACCTCACATTCTAACACCCTTCTTTCTCCTCTCTCTTTGAAACTGATTAATTTCCTTTGCAAGTCAGTGTGACTATTTGTTTTATTAAGGTGATGGGTAATTCAAAACAGAAAAGTAAGGACTAATGGCATAATACAAGATTAATGATCACCAGCCTCATTTACAGATAGCGAACTGCAGTTCAGCTTAAGTTACAGGGCCAAGACTGGTGGCATCAGAACTCAAGTTTTCCTAATAGCTTTTGTTACACCATGTTGTCACCAAGGAAACAGTGACAAAATACTATCAGAGATGCTGCATATTAGCTGTGCAGCAATTGTGCTCTCGAACATAGGCCTCAGACATTGTGGGGAGGAAACAGGGCCCTGTGGGGAATTTTGTTTTATTTTATTTGACCAGAAATACCAGTTGAATTTTAGTAGAAAATAAAAGTAACTACCTCTTCATTCCAGCAGGCTTCAGGCCTCTCCGCTTTGCAGCACCTGTCTACTGCGTTAGCGGAATCTGTCAACAATGACCACAGCTCCTCATTTGTAAGTTCAGGCTTCAGCTTTACTAAGTTGACAAGAAACCTGTGACCCAAAAATGTCAAACAGAATTAATTAAAGATTTCTTTCTTAAGCTCCTCTTCTCCAAAATGCTTATCGTTTCACATGTCTTGGGTGTCTCAATTGGGGTGAGTATAAAAGTTAAAATATTCTACTTTTGAAAGGGTCTCCTGAAACTCTCTTGTTAAACTTATGGGTTGGATTCCATGGTAACGTTCTTTATAGAGTTATATAACTATAGACAAAATGGTATAAAGATGTGAACAGATATTAAGTCTTCATTATGCACAGTATTGTAGAATATGTGACTATATTCAATCTTTCTGAAAAATTAATTTCCCAGACAAGATCCATTCCCTCTTCCTCAGTAGCCTAATGTTGTTTCCACCCTACTTGAACAGACACTGACTGCACGTAAAAAATCGGTCTTATTTCTTGGCATTTATAGCTTTGCTGAAGAAAACGAAAATAAATTACTGTCTCTTTTGGGCCTCTCCTATTTTTCAAACATTAAGCAAGATTCTCGGGGCAAACATCTAGAACCTTCTCTCTAGGAAATCCGATTCGTTATAAACCAACCTATGAGCCTTTTTGCTCAGTGCCCTAACTCACCTTTCCAAATTACAGTCTATTAGACACTCCAAGTCTCTAGCAAAGGAAAAGACTAGCTAGGTTTTGATATATAAACATGGCAATCAATATGCCCTGGCATTTGTCTGTGACATTTTTCTGGGTTGGAAAGATGGGATGATTTGATGGAATAGGATTGTAACACCAAGATCACATATGCATTGCAATGAAACTTTTCATTAATGCATGTGTGTCTTCAGACTGAGGAAAAAGATGAATGGAAGAGAATATTAGTACCTGTCTTTCTTTCTCTGGAGCTCTTCATTATGAGCCTGACACAAGTCTGTGTGAAAGGTAAATAAACCCTGAGAAGCAGATAGAGGCACATATGTTTCATCTGCTTCCAAGGCATCAAAGCAGGACCTTCTGAAGGCAAAGTTGGTTTTACAACAGTGGTCCACAGCAGGATTGATGGTTCGATTTTCATTTACTCCACATATCTCTCCAAGAACTAAATCCACCTGTACCAATGAAAGTTGGAACTCAGATATGACATTCAAACTTAAATGGAGCTTTGAAATATGGTTAGATGAATAGTTAGATTGTTCTAAGATTGCTGTTAACTTTACTAAGAAAAACCCATGCACTCATAACACAACACTATGTACAAAGAAAAGTAGAGGCTGGGTTCGTAAGTGGCATTATGTATTAAAAAATTTCAAGTCATAGCAATATAAATGCCTTTAGAGTAATTTCTTGTTAGCATATATACAAATTTGTACTTGTGAGCTGCAACCAGACAACTAAAAGTGGTAGCTAAACACTGTGGCCCTTAGATTTATTGTCCTCCTGAGATGTCCCCCAGGGTACTGCCCATTCTGGCCTTAAAGAAATACACCCAATCTGTGATTAGGTAAGAAGCAGAAATTCTCTCACTGAGCTGGTGGGGTAAAAGGGAGAATTCGTAACATTGCTTAAAATTATAATGTTTTCTGTATCATTCTGAAACAATATTGTGATTCCTAAGGCATTTGCCCTTACAAATTACTTCAACTATAGATAAGTAAAAAGATGATTTAAAGAACCCCCAATAAATATTTAAGACATTCCCATTTGCTTCTTAGGATTTTGATGCAGCGAGCCAAAAAGGAACTTGACATTCCTTGCTTAACAATTTCAAAAACAATAAAGAGAGGAAGATAGAGAATCACTATAAATCAATATGGGCAGATATCTTTTATTTATTTATTTATTTATTTCAGGAATAGTTAGGTACATGGGCCATGCTCACCAAATTATCAACACAGGCAAACTCTTCACTCAGTGTGCAGCAGGTGGTCAAAGCTGTCACCATTTCCTCGCCAATAAAGGTCAGTTCCTCGGTGGAGAGCTGAGGGGCTATCTTGGTGAGTTTGATAAGGTAGCTGAAAGGACATTTGTCTGTTTGGTTCTGAGTGAAAGCAGATACCCATTTTCCCCTGTTTACCTACTTGAAACTCGGACCCTTCAAGGCTATGGAAGATCAATGTAAGGGCAACGTGAACCTCAGCTCTCTAGTGGAAAGGTAGAGAATTGTGTCTTCACACCCTGTTTTCCTACACCCTCCCTCCTAAATCTCGGTATTTTGACTTCCTTTTAATTTCATGGTAATCTCAGAAACTCTTAGATCTGCCTGTCCTATTTTCCCTGTGAGATTAGGAGCTCCTTGGCAGCAAATACCTTGACTAGTATGTAAAATCCTACTTGAAATCCCTTGCATAGTTAATAAATATTTTAAAGGGAGAATTAAATAAATGCATATTGCAAAAAAGGATAAATCTGAAATGAAAGAATGTAAGATCTCTAGCGGGCTAAGTTTGACTTCTCAGCTAACAACTCCATTACAAAAAAAGTGAAATCACATTGTTTTAAACCATGTTTTGTTTTGATTGGAAGATATTTGGTTTCAACACACTACATTAATTCAGAAAATTCAGAATAAATTGTATAATGTTCATGAATGTTCACAAGAGTCCTAAAAAATAAATATTAAATGTTAAGCAAATCCAGAATTATTTCTATAAACTTAATAAAATGGGCTTTAATCCTGAGCAAACCATGTTTTCCTTGAGAATTGTAACAACTTGAAGTTTACTCCATCCCACCCTCCTCCCTCAAATGAAACAGAATCCAGAGATTCTGGGTTGGGAGTGAAAAAGCCAAGTCCAAACAAAAACTAAAGCATTAGAGTCAGTTTGTCCAGAATCCTGTATTTTTAAAAGATTTCTAGCCTTATTCCTGATAAAGCCTTAATTTGACAACTCAGTGTGCATTCTTGACTTTTGTGGTTTTATTCTTTGCAGAGTTTATGAATTCTGGAAGTTTATGAATGTCATAACTGGAAGACTGAACTAAAATTTTGACTCTTTGTAGCTCTCATTATTTTATCCTGGTCACAAATGCTAACCTACTTGGGCAAACAACTTACTGATATTTCAAGTCATCCTTCCCCAAATTCCGGAAATGATCACATTCTCGTTGTACTATCCTGAGGCTTTTCTCAGTTGTCTCATTGAATTTGTTTTCCTGAAAATAAGAACAATCATGTTTATGAACATTTTATCTAAAATTTAATCATAAGCTTCATATCAACTTGTTAAATAGCTTTTATATTTATATAATATTTTCAAACTATCATTACCATACATTACTCACTAAATTGAGGGTAGTTTTTTATATGTGTGTGTAGAATTTGAATCTTATCAATTATAGTTATAAATAGATATGTTTTTTGCTTAAATTTGGAAGTCCAAATTTTTCATTATTATTTTGTACTTTTTTCGGTAGCACTTTCCACTTTACAAAGTATAATCAAATCTTGTGGTGACAATGATCATATTTGATTCTCACTTTGAAGTGACCAGAGTAGTTGTTATTTCTGTTTTTACATACAGGAAACTGGCCTTATGAAGTCAAGTGACTTTTCTGGAATGTCTCAGCTAGTAAATATTGCTACAGAATATTTTTAACCACATTTATCTTTATTTTATTCTTTAGTTTTCATTATTTAGAATTGGAACTTAAATCTCTTTTAATTATCTTCAAATATTTGACACAAATATTTGACACAAATATTTGACACAAAATTGGACACTCAGTAAGTGTCCAATTTTCCACACAAAATTGGACACTTACTGAGTGAACACCTAAGAGAAAACTACACACAAGTGGATGAATGCCATGGGACAAATTGTGTTGCCATGTAAAAAAAATTTTTCTATCAGTATGATTTATTTAAGGATCAGTAAAAGGTCTTCTTACTTCATTGCTCAAATATAAATGTGTGTCAACTGGTTTTTATGGTAAATGGAAGAAAATTTTAAAACAAAAGCAGCACATATCAAATGAATGAGAAATAAATCAGAAAGGTCAAATGATTTCTATAACACATAAGGAGTATATATGAATTGATATTAAAAATACTAATTTCAACAAGAAAATGGGTAATAGACATGAAAAATTTGTTCATAGAAAATTTATAACTACTGGAGCTAAAATTATATGGGAAAAACTTAATTTCACTTAAAAATCAAATAAATGTTTGCTTAAAACACAATCACTGTATTTTACATATAAAACTAGCAAAGTTAACCTCCATGTACAATGTTGGTAAGGATGGGGGTGAAATGAGCATTTTCAAGCACTGCTATAGCACTCTATACTGGCAAAAACTCTCTAGAAAGTAAATTAGCCATTTCTATCAAATGTTTTTTTATACAGTCAATATATTTTGACCTTATATTTTCCCTTCTGATAATCTATCTTAAGAAAATAATCATTCATATTAATAAAGATGAATGGGAAGAGATACTTACTTCAGGGTCGCTTATAAAATTAAAAACAACCTAACGAAATATCTAAAAAGCCCTACACGTAGTAAGAAAGCAGTTAAATTATTATGATAGAATACCATCATTTAAAATAAAGTACATTTTGAAGTGTTTAATGACATAAAAAATTTTCTATGATACTAAATAAAAACAGATCCAAAAATTTCTTAAGTATTATTTCAATCTTACTTTTAAACACACACACAAATATATGCATATTTGCATAAAAAGATGAAAGAAAATGTTAATTACAGCTATTTCCCTATGACAAAATCAGAAAGTTTTTATTTTTATTTTTTGTAATTTTTGGTACTTTTCTAATCATCTTTAATAATCAGTTATTATTTTTATAATCATAAAAAATCTAATATGGCCCAATATAATACAGAGTACATAAATAAATGTATAAACATAAAATGTTTAATGGGAAGCATTTTTTGCATCAACACATAGGATCAATAGTTCAAAACATCATGCATAACCCAAATTCATGTTGGTCTTCCAAAGATAGCCCATGGTGAATTTAAAGTAAATTCGGCTTGGTCAGTCACATTTTCTACCCTCTAGACTGAAGTAAAACCTCGATTTCAATTTTTAAGTGTTTGTTTTTTTTTGTTTTTTTCTTGATTCAGTTTGGTTTATTGCTCTGGGTCTATAAGATAGAACCTACCGCATTACAGTAACAGTCTGGAGGGTTTTTGGTGTTGCAACTCTCTGTCAGGAGATCATCGTACACGCTAGCAATTCTTAAAAGCTCCGGCACAGACAGTTCTGGATGTCTCCTTGAGTATTCATAAAGAAACCTGTGATGTGTAAAAAATTTTGTATATTAAGACTTAGAGAAAGAGCAAAATACCAAGTCCTACTTTCTTTTAGTCTAGCCAGATCTAATACTGAGTCTGCTCTCCAATGCTGGTTTGGTCAGGAAGTAATTTAAGAGGACGTTTTGACTACAGGAGATCTTTTCACAAAGATTCTCTTTTATATTATGTTTTAAACTAACAATGATTTTGCTTGAGAGAATAGAATCATCAGTTATTTAGAATTAATTATTAAAATGATTTAATTTATAAAGCAACAGAAATAGTATACCATGCCACCAATACTTTATCGAGTATAATTCTGTTCAAAAATTCATTCAGACTTTCAACTTGAGATGGTGGAAATATGGCTTTCTACCCACTCCTAGTGTCACCTTGGTGAGAGATTGTGGAGAGGCCTTCATCCATTACTTCATCCTGTCACTTGTCAAATATGGGAGTAATCACTCCTGCAGCTCTAAATCATTGTCAATGGTTTCCATGGCCTCAATAAGAGGTTCCAACGGTATAGATGGGTGTGATTTGGGGAGAAAGTTGACAAAGAGGCCAACAATTATTAAGCCTTTAGTAGCTGCTAGGCATTGGATCAAGCTTTGGACATAAAAGATAAAGTATGCTTTGTAGCATTTATAAACACTTTCTTATTTAACTTCACTTAGTCTTCGAGATAATACTATTTTATAGCTGAGGAAACTAAGTCTCTGACTAGTTAAGCACCTTGCTATTAATGGAAGTATAAAAGTTGAACTTAGGTTCCATGTAATGCCTACTTCATTCTTTTTAAACCAAGCTAACTTTCTTCTCCATAAAAAAATCGTATCCATTCAAAATAAGTTAAAATGGTGTTCGTGTTTTGTAAAAGCAATACCTCACAAGAATTTTTCAAGTCCAGGAAACTCTTTTCACCTCTTTTGTTTTACAGCCTTTGACTGTCTTGATTAATCTTGATTTTTCTGACATCATCTCTCTTTCTTCTCCATCTGCCTTCTCAGTCCCATTTGTGGGATATATTCCCATAGCCTAAAGTAGTATCGTTTAACTTTCAGATAATCAAGTGCTCCTCTTAATATCCAATGTAAGTCATGGACCTTTTCCCAAAAATAAAATTACACCTAAAAACACACCACCAAAACGTTGCAAACAACACTCCCCGGAAGCCTACTCGAGCTTGGCAAATCCATTGAGGTCTTGCGTCAAACGTTTGCATCCAAAAAGACTGCACCTTAAAACTCTGTTTCTGACTTAGCATGCTCATGTTGCTTATCATTTCTCTCCACACTTCAAATGCTATCTGTGTTGTAATAGTGATGATGATGAAGATGATGATGATGATGATGATGATGATGATAAAAAATGCTTTCATTTAGCGAGCACGTGTACAAGAGAGTCAGGTACAAGTAAAATGCATTTCATCTATCATTTGGTTTAGTTTAATTTGACTTAATACTCTGACTCATGAGACTCAATAGAGCACAGTGATTCTAAGATCAGGAGTCTAGAGCCAGACTGCTTGTGTTCGAATCCTGGTTCTACCACATATTTGCTGTGTGACTTTGCAGCAAGTTACTTAACCTCTATGATTCAATTTCCTTTCCTATAAAAAGAGGATAATAAAGTATTCCAACATCAGAGGGTTGTTTTGAAAATTAAATTGGTTGGTAGATGAGAAGCACTTAAAATTTAGTAAGTATTTAATAACTTGTATTTTTCAATCCAGAACTCCTTCTAGAGCTCCAGGTTCACATATAAAATTGTCTCATGACAGTCCCTGTTAGTTACTCTACAAGCCAGCCCCTCAAAGTCAATGTAGTTAGATCCAAACATATTCTCTTACCCCGAAAAACCTGCTTCTTCATCCATACTTCTCAACTCATTAAATCTGAAAACTACTCACCCAACCACCTAACCCCAAACTTGTGTTCATTCCAGATTGTTTCTAAAAACCAAAGGTGATTTTGTTCTGCCTTGTTCTTCAATTGATAATCCTTCAGTGGCACCTCATTAACTTAGCATGCCTACATGATTTGACCCTTTTTGCCTCTCACTACCCTGTCTCTCACTGTGGATTCCCTACTCACAGCCAAATACGCAACAAGTAGTATTATACTTCTATCCATGCCCTGCCTTCTCTGTCAAGGTTACCAAAATTTCCTCAAGAACCTCCTCCTGATTAAGACTTTCCAGGATCCCCAGGTACAAATGACCACTTCCTTCCCTCTCCTCACATTGCTTAGCATATAGTGCTGTCCAAAATAAAAGTGTATTTCTTGCACTCATTTGTATATGTCTGCTCTTCCTATATCACACTCCCTATTGATGCAAGCTTACTGGAGATAAAAACCCTGTATAAAAACCTAGTAAAGTACCCAGATTATACTTAATTGCCAATAAACTTTGAATAAATGAATATTCCATGAATTTTATATATGATGATCTAAAGTATAGAGCAGTTAGCTTGTCCCAGTGACCCAACCAGGACTCAAATCTTGTCCTTTTTGCTCCAAGTCCACTAGTCTTTCCTTGAATAGCTGTGGGATGGCATAGCACGGCAGTTACACCTGCAACTTCTTAGGTCAGACATTCTGGGGTCAAATCCTTACTCTGCCATTTTTTTAGCTATGCATCTTGAACAAGTTATTTAGCTTTTCTGTACTTCATTTTGCTTTTCTGAAAAATCAGGGGAAATCATACTTATTGTACATGACTTTGTGAGAATTAAAATAGATAATCATATAAAGTACTTAACCCATTATCTAGCACATATCAAGCACTCAATAAATGTTAGCCATCACTATAATAACACAGTTTCATTTTCTTAAAATCATGTGAAAACACTATAACCTATAACCTTGATTTTTTAAAATGATTTGAATGATTCTCATTTCTTCCACCCAAATTAGCTAAAATAGGTCAAGTCATAAGTTTCCGTTTGCCTTATAAATTTCAATATAGAGTTTTGTTACTCAGCCATGAAGATGTCTTGGTCAGCATTTCGTTCTTCACACACATTTTTGTTTTCAGTAAATTTTGTTTCTTTTAGAGATAAATCCTTTGGTCTATCATCTTTATTTGAGGAAATTATGCACTCGCCACGCTCTGGTATTTTCTTTTCACAGCACTCTTTGATTTTGCTGGAGATGGAATCTTGTTTTGAACAAATATGGTCCATAACTTTGCTCTGTACCAAGTAAGAATGAGAAATGATGTTATTTTTACGATTTCTTCAAGGCTGGATTGCCCTTCATAATAAAATGAAAACCATTGATGAGCATAACATCTGAAATAGCTTCATCAGTTGATTTGATAGATAAAATTTATTTAAATTTGTATTGATTTAATACACATGAAGTTTCATATTAAAACAAACTTTATTTCTCAGGATTTTAGATAATATAACTATGAAAAATAGAGTCATAAATTCACATTCATTGTTAAATATTAATATTTTAAATATTTTACCCCTACTCCTCTGGAATATTGACATTTTAAATTCTAAATATTGGTTTTTTGTTTTTTCTTTTTCCATAAGAGTTTACGTGTGATTCAATGAGGGCCACCAAAGACATGTAACTTTAATATCTATAATCCTACATTTCTCCTCTTGTGGCCTGAAACTACATTGCCAAGCACATAGTCGAAACTCAATAAATATTTGATAAGAAAATAAAAGAATGATAAACAAATGAACTACTACAGCAACTACCAGATAATGATTTCTGAAACATAAGAAACTATTCTACTCATTGTTGTAATTTTCCTATGGATATTATTAATTCAAAGCTGTTCAAATTATCAAATAATGTACAAAATAAAAAGCCTTACTCTATTCTCTCTTCCTATGTCTCATTCCAAGTTCAACCTCCACATAAACTCGTGGGAGTAAGGGAGAGGGTGACATTACCTTATTTTCACAGTAATTAGATATTTTTTTTAATTTATGTTTTTCTTTAAGTATAGTTGGTATACCGTATTGTTCATATTAGTTTCAGGTATACAAAATAATTACTTGACATTTTTATACCTTACAATGTGATTACCACACTAATTCTAGTAATTATCTGTAACCATGCAAACTTATCACATTGTTATTGACTGTATTCCCCTTCCCCTTTCTACTCATTCTCCCACTCTCTCTCTTTTTGGTAATCATCCCTTTGATCTCTGTTTCTATGAGTCTGTTTTTGTTTTGTTTGTTTAATTGATATTGTTTTGTTTTTAGATTCCATGTACAAGTGAAACCATTCGTCTTTCTCTGCCTGACTTATTTCACTTAGCATAATACTCTCTAGATCCATCCATATTGTCACAAATGTCAAGATTTCACTCTTTTTTTATTGCTGCATAATATTCTATTAAATAGATATACATCACATTTCTTTATTCATTCATCTATCAATGGATACCTAGATTGCTTCCATATCTTGGCTATCGTAAATAATGCTGTAATGAACATAGAAGTGCACATATTTTTTCAAATTAGTATTCTCATTTTCTTTAAATTAATATCCAGAAGTGAAATTGCTGGATTGTACGGTATATCTTTTTCGGTTTTTTGAGGAATCTCCATACTGTTTTTCATAGTGGCTGCACCAGATTGCAGTCCCACCAACAGTGCACAAGTGTTCTCTTTTTTTCACATCGTCGTCGCCAACACATGTCATTTGTTGACTTTCCAATGATAGCTTTCTAACATGTGTGAGATGATATCTCATTATGCTTTTGATTTGCATTTAGTTGGATAATTTTTTAAAAGCTGGTCCCTAATCCCTTCTCCAGACTGTCCAGAATGAGGCTGCACATTTTTTCCTACTCTCTGATCCAGCTTCACATGAACCACATTGAGTTCCATCAAAACACCAGGCTCTTCCAGGACTCTCTGACTGTGTTCAAGCTGTTCCTCCTGCCTGGAATCGTCTTCTGGTTAACAATGAGGGTGAAGAATGTGATGAAGCTCTGGGTGAGAAATGGAATGGGGGTTGGCACCATGTTTTCAATAAAGTACATAGGACCAGAAAGAGCCACTCTTTGCAAAAACATACACATCTCACGTAAGCCCATCATCATTCTAGGCAATACATGTCTTATTGTCTGGAATGTACTCCTATTTTGAATGAACAACAATTTAATTCCTTTTATTTCTTCATAAAGTAATCAAAGGGGAAACTGAGGACATAATATGATCTCTTTGTCTCAGCTCCAAACTTCATAGAAAAATCTTTAATTATATTCTAATTCAATACTATATTTACATTATATAATGTAAATATATCTTCATAGACAATCAAACAATATAAAGGTAAATATCAAGTGAGATAGCTTTTAAGTAGAGTAGTATTAGGAACAAAATAATTCTTAGAGACATCTATTGTCCACTGCTTGAAATAAAATGTGCATATCTTTATATTCCAAAATTCAAGTTACTTGATTAACATACTGTTTCACTGTGAATTTAAAACACTAAAACTAAGTAAAATTCGCTAAGGATAAAAGTCTAATTTTAACTAAGTAGTCAGAATATTTTAAATGAAATTCTCTTATCTTTGTGTGCATGAACAATTTAAATTAGGTCAATATATTTACCAATGTATGGCCTTGGAGAATCATTTTAAAGAATAGATTCATTATAAATGGTCATATTCACTTATTTGGAAAGAATGTTTCTAAATAGCCTGAGAAAACCCAGAGAAAGCATCATGTTAAAAACATAATGGTAAAAAATCATTCTCTGAGCTTTATTATTGATTTCTAATACCTTAAAAAGAGAATTTGCAATATTAAAGAAAATTTCAATTTGGCCTAAATAAATGTTCACAAATTTTAAATTCCTGAAGTTTTATGTAAGGACATTTAGCCATATAAAATAGAATCTGCTGAGTACTCTAAAAACAATTCCGTGTATATATATACCCAAAGTTCTGTGTTATACTTAGGCTTATTTGTTAACATTTTACCTTGTATTTTACTTATTCTATGTTATTATTTAACAACTTATTAACGTTCTGATTTCATTGTGGTAAAGTAGCCACATATTAGTGCAACTTCAGAATAAAAAAGGCTGTCTAATTACTATTTTTACTTGGTTTTAGAGAATATTTACCCAGCCTCGAATGCAGTGTACAGCATCACCTTCACAGCATCCATTAAATTTGGAAGAAACATCTTCTAGAAGGGAGGTGAGTTCCTTAAATTCAATCTTGGGGAATTTTTGACTAAGTATAGCAATGTTTCTGGAAAGAGAATTGATAAACCACTAAGACAATTTAAACAGCAACTAAGATAAGAGGGAGTTCTTTGATGATACAATTTAAGTAGCTGCAATAAACATTGATATCCTTGTTTTTTCACAGATATCTTTACCAAATTGCTGTTTATACATTGTGCGGCCCACACGATCACTTTGAAAATTTTAGGCTAATATTTTGAGTCCCAGATCAGGTCAGGGGAAAAAGGGCCTGAGAGATGTGCTCTCTTCCATAATTTTTATAGCAAAACACATCTTGTAAGGACCACTAATTCCTGTTGTAAGCCCATGGTATGCATAGATAATCCAACACAGAGTTCTTTTCTGATGATCTATTTGAAATTTCAGAATTTTTCTCAAGATATTGAACTAGCACCATTACTAATTGGTTAGGGTGAGCAGTTGAGATAAAATTTATCCTTATAAGATTGTCTCTTGGTCATTAAGGTCAAATATGGATGGATAAGTCAGTCTAAAGCACTTGGAACTTTTAAAATCCTGGTTGGGAACTCCCAGACCAATTCAGATTCCTAAGTAATCAAAAAATATCTCATAAGTAGCCCTCTTTCTCTCTAAGGTCTCCCCCACCTATCAAGTCTTTTCTCATTCCAAACTAATGTTCTGTCATGAGCTGTCCACATAGATTGAGACCCACATAAACCTCTGGAGAACTGAGAAGAATATAAATAAAAAGTTATCAATGACAATAAAAATGGAGCACAGATAAGAAAATTCGAGTAGAGACAAAATACATATTATAAAACTCACATAGAGTTTAAGACTTGCAGTCCAAATTTCAAAAATGCCCCACAGACATTTTTTTGATAAGAAGACAATGCTTTTAAAAATTGTATGACAGATTTTGCCTGAAGGAGAAAGAGAAAATTCTGTTGAAGCAAGAGCAAAATCCCACTACTCTCTTATTTCTTAGCTACATGTTGACCAAATTATTTCAAAGTTTGCTCAGAAACAAAAAAAAATCTATGGGATTTTTATTGTAGTAAATTTACATATCAAAAGAAATATGCAGTTGTAGCACATCTGAAGGTGGAGCAATTCTGATAACTGAATTGTACTTGGTGGGAAGGTGAGTGGTACAGTGTGCTGTGAGAATGTTCATCTCTACTGGGATGATTCTATTATATGGTTAGCTAAAAGAAGGCTTGCCAAGGATAGAAGATAAATTGTCATCTTTTACCCTGAATATACACTCACTAAGGCTTTTTGAAAAGGCTTCCAATTTTCAAGAAAGACAAAGCCAGAAGAGAAACCTTGGAAGTGGGCAATTGTCTTTCGAGGATCTCAGGTACTAAGAACTTTTAGATCAGCAACAAATGGCCAATGGGTTGAAAACCAGTAAAAGTGGAAAGAGAATGGTTATAAATGGTAAATGACTTTTTCACTATCATTTAATTTTAAATAAAGGTCTACTGTGTTGGGTGACTCCTTCTCTTTTAATGAAATAAATGTAATACCCACCTTTGTTTGAAAGCAGTTGGCTTTATCTTGTTCTTCACAACATGTTTTAGTTATCACCTCAAAACGAGCAGCAAGCATTAGAAGCGTAGGGGCAAAAACAAAGGGATTTCTCCTGGAAACTTCATAAATATAGCTATTAAAAAAAGTAAAGAAGGAGGGGAAGGAAAGAAGCAGGAAAGAAATGAAAGAATGATAGACAATTGAAGGAAAGAAAATGAAAGGGAAAAGAAAGAGAAGAAAAGACAAGGAGATCCAGTTGTAAAAATGAAATTACAGAAAAGGCTTTCTCATCACAAAAGTCTTTAATATAAGGTAGCATTATCCAGTTTCCAATAAAAATTTTTAGAGTCTTATCATTGAAATTGGCACCTCCAAAATAAGAGTGATGATTGCAGCTCTAATCCTGAACACTAAGATGACTATTGACCTTTCCTCCCAATGCTGCCAGATGATCAGCAGCTCTCTCTTCCAAGTTTAAAGAACAGCTACTGAGATACACTCCATCTGAGATTCAGGAATTATATTCACTTATGTTCAAATGAACTAGTGATTTAGGTTTCAATGAGTATACCAGCTTTCCAGAAAAAGTCTCTCTTTCTTTAATTACTGCATTGTTGATAACAGATTTTTGCTGAACTTCTGTTCTAGGGCTTATCATGTTATGAAATTAACATCATTAATGAAAGAATCTTGAAAGCAGATTTTATATCGTATTCATATTTATATCCTCAGCACTGAATACAGAATCTGACACATAACACATGTTGAATGAATTAATCCATCAATGAACACAACTATGTTCTTTTGTAATAGAGATTAGATACTCGTCAGCCTAAGAATATTTCTTCAATTAGATCATTTTTCTACTAAAATGAAACTTACTTGTTTAGAAAAGATTCACTGTTATTTTTATAAGCCTGGCATTTCTCTTCAGGATCCAGAGTAAGGGGAGAGGGCAGAAATTCTACACCAGCTTTCTTATTACGAAAGAAACAAAGTCTTCTTTCAAAGTCAACCTTATTGCAGCAGTGTGAAAAATTATGCTTTTGTGGCAGCCCCTCTATAGCACATATCGTTTCCTGTAAAACATCATTCTAGACAACAGAGAAGTAAAGAAAGTTTTCATTCATTGTAAAGTTTCTCAACCTTCTGAGATGACATAATAATTAGTGAGTATCACCCTTTAGGAAATAGATTGTAATTTTCTCAATATCATCAGCAGATCATTTTAACCCACACCCTTGACAACTATTCCACATTTTGGGAAACTTTCTATATCTATCCTGAGGTTCATCAAACTCTTACTTTTTATTCGCTGCCTATATTTCTCTTAAACTACAGCTTTTTTTCTTCCTCTCCCAAGGTGACAGAGTCAGAGTGCGAATGTAGTAGTAAAGTATTTAGTAGTGATGTTTGGTAATACTTTTCTAGAGATGCAGATGGTGACTATAATTGAGAAAAGCCAAGAAAAAAGGGTATGATAGTAGATAGTAGACATTGAGACAGGAAGCTAAGGAGGATGACTCTGTACTTCTGTGTGTTTTGCCAGGTTTTTGGCAAGCTCATGGCCAAGTTCTCCTGTGCATCATAATACCGAATTGCATCTCTCCTAGGAAACTAACTTATCCTAAATACCTAGGCCAGGCAAAATAAAAGTGAGGGGCACAGAGCATCTCTCTTTTTACATTTTCAAGCTGTAAGAAATTTGTTTAAGAAATACAAACAATTTACTTACAGGTAATTTTGAGCACATTGGGAGTGTCATGTTAGCCAAGCATTGATCTTTGTATTCTGTCATGGCTTTCCTCAACATTTCTGCTTCTTCAAAGGATGCCTCCTGAATATACTGAGCAAATGCAATGATGGTGCTACAACAATCCACACAGAGTACAAAATGATTACCTGTAGAATTTCCATATATGTCCAATAAAAACTCACAGGAGCATCTACTTGTTGACTAGCCTCAGGAAATTATCAAAGTGTGGGGCTGTAAATTCTACAACTTCTTAACAATTCAATTGCTTCATCGGAATTTTATGATTAATGCTGTATTTACTTTTTTGATATGATTTCTATTTAATTGAATTACTTTTAAGAAGCATTAACATTTCTGGAATATATCAGATATGATTATGGTAAACATCAGCATCATCATTAGAAAAACTCACATATATCCAACATTCTCCTCTATAAATTTCTGGGTAATCCTGAAGTCATCTGAAAAGCAAAGAGTTTTAAGTTATTATATACCCTGATATTTTAACATTTTCCCAATAAATAGCTACATATGATATTTAAATTTACAAAGTATGAAATAGAGAACTGATGGTAGAAAATAATTTGACATATTTAACAAGAAGGAAAAAAGTCATATGGACCAAATACAGGATTTTGATCACATCTTATTATGACCTCGAGATATATTCATTAAATTGAATTGACTTGAATTAACCTCAAACTGACCAGACTTTAGATTTGCCATTGATGGCTCCCCAGCCACAAATGTCAAATACAAGCACCACTTCCATGTTAAGTATTTATCATGTATGAATAGAAAAATAATATGAAAATTAATTGATATGTGATGTAATGCTACAACAAGACACAACAAGAGATGCCATAGCATGCTGGTGGTCAGTTTACACAGTTTACAGGGCTAGCCCAATGTCAATATTTAGGTAATTTCTGGACTAGTCTCAGATCATTGATTCCCTCCCAACAAGCATATACTAATCAGAACACATTTACATTTGTCCATGTAGACAATTTTTATGGAATTCTTACTTTTGAAAATCATCGTGCTGGACACTATAAGGCAATCAATAATGAAAAAGACATCTTCCCTAGACTTCAGGTCGCTAAGTACTTTCACAATGCAAGTAACTCTTGAACATAAGTATAGTCTAATTTAGAATGTAAATGGCATTCTAAAGTAATGTAGGTAAGCATATGACAGGCTTTCTTCATGGGCGAGAAACGAGAAGTAGATTACAGGAGAAATGGCATATGAGTCAAACCTGAAAAATATACAAGATTTCAGCTAGCAGAAAAATAAGTCTCATCTTTCTATGTGGATAGATGATGTGAATAAAAGCACAAAAGTGAGAAATCTTGAGATTTATTAGGAAAAGTCAATTAATCCACTACAATGAGAAAGTGAGTCATAAAAAAGAATAATGGAACCTAAGATAGAAAGGACCTGGGTCGATATTATGGGAGTCTTGCATGTAAACCTGGGAGTTTGGGCTTCAATTGGAAGCCATGAAGAACCAGTGAAATGTTTACATAAAATAGTAATATGATCGTTTCTATATGCTAAGAAATACCAGCCAGGTAGTGGTATAACTAATGTGCTAGGATCTCTCATAATGCCTGATAAATAAAGAGGGATAAGAACTATGTCAAGTAGATGGAAGAATGAATGGATGAATAGAAAAAAGCAAGAAGCCCATTAGGTGGCTTTTGCAATTTTTCTATTGAGAAATCAGCAGGACACAAATTTTGGTAAAAGTAATGAGTATACAAAATGGATATGCATGGATGCAAAAGATATTAAAGACAAAAAATCAACAGGATTTTTGAACAAATTATAACAAGGGGCACAAGAGAAAGAGAACTCAAGAATGACCACTCTTCTTCGAGCCCTGTGACTAGTCTCACTAACAGGCACTATGGGAGGTACCAAATTCAGTAAGATATAATCCACATTTTCAGGGCCACTGTGACACTTATGGAACCTTTGTGAAAGTTCCAACAAGGTGCACCTTCCGGTCTAGAAGAAATACAAAAAGACACCTCCTCCGAAAGATGAAGTTCAAAATGTTCTCTTTTGGGTAGAAGATACATAAAAGTCACCCTTTCCTCTAGGCCGATATTGCCTTTGCCAGACTTAGAAGGGATGGGGATAGGGGATGGGGAAAGCCTTGGGGAGATTTATAAACTGTACAGCTGGAGAAAGCAGGGTCCTGCATACCCTAAAGGTGTTTTCCACCCGATCGGGAGATATGTTAAACAACTAAAGGTTCCACAAAAATCCCAGCTCAAATTTAGTGTTCAACTGTTACCACACACTATACACATTTGCAAGGAATATAAATATTTTCACATCCAAATTATACCTCTCAGCAACACTTTCTCTACTGACATAAGGCTGGTGACCATTTGCTGGGTGTGATAACTGTTTCTGTCTATAGATTGCTTAATATGATCACAAAAACACCAAAATACAAAATCTGGGAAGGTTAGTTTAGTTTAGGATATTTGATCAGTATTTATAAACTAGTGCTGTGGGGGGAGGAACAAGTGAAAAATTAAGTTGAAAGAAAACAAAGTTAAAAGGAAATAGAAATTATCCCAACTTAGTCATTTCTTAGCTGGTATAGAAGTAAATTTCTTACCTACATCTTGAGGCTTTGTGGGCAAGGTTAGGGATTCAGTCAAATAGAACATTAAAATAACAAAACCTCTGAGTTCTAACTGTTTCATTGCTTTAGAAGTCACATTCACAAAGGAAAATAATGTGATTGAGGAAAGTCAAGTTTTTATATTATTCTTTGACACTATTAGTAAAAAAGTAACCCGTTTAACCTATTTCTCACAAACCTCATATTTGATTGTTACTTGATCACGCTGCAGAAATTTTGCTAATTATTAACTAGGAAAAAATTATCTCTGTGTTTCACTGGAAAAATCTATAGAGTTAGAAAAAAAGTCCACAAGTTAAGTATATACAGTACCTAGTTAAATAGACAACTACAAAAAAGTCTTGAAATATTGCAAATGTTAAAGGAAAAAGGGCTAGAATAAATAATTTGCCAAAGAGAAACACAACTAGAAAGATGTTAAATTTTGCTGATAATCAAAGGAACCTCAAAAATAATAATTTTTAGACACTTAATAGAATTTGAAAAAAATAAACAACTAATATACAGCATATATATAATATATAACAAAGAAAATGCCCATGTAACCAAAGCTTTCAGAAAACAAGTTTATAGTAAAGATCAATAGTCTTAGAGATATTCGCATTATTTGAATCAATCATTCAAATTTTTAAATCTTTCCTAAGAACATGATTCTAAATATGGAAATATTTTTAAATACATGACAAAGAAAAATAAATCTATTTCTTAGTTACATTTACTAAAAGGGCCTGAAAGCAATGGCAACCAAGTAGAAAGGAGCACATTTAGTGTCCACATCTTGGGTTCTAAACATAATTCTCTATAAAAGGATACTGGGCTTCTAAGAGAAATTAATGGTTCCAGGGCTGAGATATGAAAATATAAGATGAGTTGAGAACATTGTGTCAGAAACTAAGGAAGTGATCAAAAATTGAGGGGAGCATGTCAAAAGGAGATAGAAGCCAATGGGACAACTTGATAACTAAAATAAATAATAATAGGAATGCATTATACTCATTAAGTTTTTGAAGAAGAATTTATGAACCTATATCAATATAAAAGTAAATAAAAATGGAAATAGGAAAAGTTCTTCTCTACAGAAAAATGCCAACTAATAAATGTAGTTAGAAATAAAACATATTTCTATATAAAACATATTTGTAACTAACTACCATAGTAATAATTAATTTAGGCCAGTTTCATGAATGGACACTAAAGTCACTGATGAGAAATTATTGGGCAATAGCATATTTACAGTTTCAAAGTATCACTCTACAGATTACTTATTCACAATAAATGGAAAAAGACATCTTTATAGGTATATAAACAAACAGTGGTATAGTCACTCTATAGGTTAATATTTGTCTTTATAACTAATGAATACAAAGAATATGTAATAACAGAAGGAAATAGTTTCTATGTAATATTTGAAGAAAAAGCAGAATCTAAAATTTTGTATGTTATGTGTAGAGGATGGTAGAGTTAATAGACCTATTAAACCAAAAGGAAGGGGCTAGGAGTGAGAGTGAGAAAGAGAGGAAGTGGAAGAGAGAGGAGAAAAGAGAGAGACTTATTTTGTCCCCAGACTGAGAACCAGGCAACTGGTATGGTCAGCATCTTTGGTTGCAGCTAGTAAATGTTCCTGGTCATGCTGACCTCTAATTGGTCTTTTGTCAGGGAATAAAACTTGCTTTTAGGTATATTCAATGATTAGTCAGAGATCAATTTGCTTTTTATTTTCTTCTCAGATATGGTAATCCCCTCTCATCAGTGGTTTCACTTTCTGTAGTTTCATTTCCCCACAAACAATCTCAGTTTGAAAATATTAAATGGAAAATTCCAGAAATAAACTATTCATAAATTTTAAATTCCATGTCATTCTGAGTAGTGTGATGAAATCTCACACTGTCTAACCCAGGGTGTGAATCATCCCTTTGTTCAGTGTGTTCGTGCTGTATATGCTCCCTGCTGGTTAGTCATTTAGTAGCCTACCTGGTTATCAGATCAGTTATGAGAGAGAGAGAGAGACACTACACTCACATAACTTTTATTACAGTATATTGTTATAATTGTTCTATTTTATTATTGTTGTGAATATCTTCCTGTATCTGATTTGTAAATTAAACTTTATCTTAGGTATGTATATATGGGAAAAAACAATATATAGGATTCAGTACTATCTGCAGTTTCAGGCTTCCACTGGGGGTCTTAGAATATAAATAACCCCTACAGATAAGGGGAACTACTGTAATTATTGTTTGTGATTACTGGTTCATGCCTGGCATTTATGATAAGAGAGCTTCAATCTACCTATTTCACAAATATAACCCCCTGTCACTGATAAGAATGGATTTTTTATAATCATATAAAGTAAAACTGCAGTCTGTGCCTAGTTAAAAACTTAAGGTTTTTAAACTAAGTTTTCTTCCTGGTCATTTTGAATTTGCTTGGAATTATCTAACTGCTAACTCCCTCATTCATAGGTAATAAATTTTGAAACAGATAAACATGCCTAGGAAATTTTGCTTCAACAATATAGACACATACATTTACATATAGACATTTGAAGAAAAAAAAAAGAGCCAGACAATGATATATTCAAAAGATTAAGAAAATCCTGGAAACCATAAAACAGAGGGGATCAAATTGATGAGGATCATAGATAAGGAACTTCAGCTCAAAGTGTGGAAGTTGAGATCAGTTTTCCCAGGAGCATGTCAGAGAAGCTCTGAGTCTGAAGAATATAAAGAACATATATAGGATATAGGGAAATAATCAGGAGACTAAAAAACGCTAATTCTGAGCAGCTAAGTAGAAGATGACACTACTTCCTTTCTCTGCCTTCACACACACACACACAGAGATAACAGAGTTGGACAACTATGGTTGGTGTTTTTTAACTTTAGATCAAAATTCAAAAATGACTCTTTCTTAGTTTGAGTTTCCCAAAAGCAGCCCTCCAAACAAAGACTTGCAATTTGGAAGGTGATGCAAGGAAACACAAGTGAGAAAGTGAGGAAGTGAAACCAAGAAGGGAGAAAGGTAATAAAGCAGGTGCTAAGAAGAGTAACAGTGTAGGCACCTGGGTGTAGTCCTATTTGGAACTGTCTAAGAAGGGGAAGATTTCCTAGAATTGTCCTTCCAGAGAATTAGGAAGCTAGAGAATTTATCTACTGACTGAAGTATACATGAGCAAGAAGAATAATCATGAAAACCCTAAGAAGAAAAAAAAAAAAAACGCTACTGGCATGAGGGGTTGTGCAAAGCAGCACTACCCGATAATAAAACACATTCTAAAACATCATAATAATTAAAATGATGCGGCATTGGCAATCAAGAGAGAGACTGATACAATTAACTAAAAATCTAAAATTGTATTCCAATACCTATCCATCCAGTGGGATGATTCGAAATATACCGGAGATCAAAATGTAAAAAAACAACAACAAAAACAAAACATCAAAGTACCAGAAGAACTACAAGTGAAGTGGAGAAAATTTTCCCAACTGTGATGCAAAACCCAGAAGCACTAACAAATCAACAGTATAAAATGTTTTTCTAAGACTTTATATGGAAAAATGCTATAGGCGGAGTCAAAAATACAGAGGTAAAACCGAGAAAAGATAGCTGCAAACTCTACCATAATATATAGAGTTCCCAAAAATTTGAGGAAGAAAACAGACCAACAGTCTTATAGAAAAATAGTAAAATAATATAAACAGGTGGTACACAACAAGAAAAAAAAACTAATGGAACTTAAACATTAAAAAATGCTCATAAGATAAATGTACATGTAAACAACACCCAGTACAATTTCTTACCCATCTGATTGGCGAAAGTCAAAAAGTTTGACAACGTACTTTGAGGATAAAACTCTGGGGAAATAGGTCTTCTCACCCATTGCCAGTGAGAATGCAAAATTGTGATGCAAAATCTATGGAGGGGGATTTGGCAATATCTGAAAAATATGTTTATGTCCTTTGAGACAAAAATTTTCTAATGGGTACATATCCAAAAATATACAGCCACTATTACTAAATGACTAAAACACTAGGTTATTCATTGTGGCATTATTTTCAGTAGTAAAAGATTGGAAATAATCCAAATGTCCATCAATAGAAGGTCGGTTAATAAACTATAGCATATCCACACAAAGAAAGTCTATGAAGCTGTTGAAAAAATTGAAGAAGAAACTTATGCATAATATCAAGTGATTACCAAGATTACATTTTTAAGTGAAGAAAGCAAGATAATATGTAACCTCTTGTGTAATATAGAATAGTGTAATAGGATCATATTTATATACATATTTGTTTGGATATTAAAAATAAAGAACAGATGAGTAAACCAGAAACTTAAAAAAGCTATTATTACCAAAGGAGAAGAACAGGGTAGAAGGGATAGTGTCTTAGTTCAGACTGTTCTAAAAAAATATTGGGTGGTTTATAAACTACAGAAATTTATTTCTCACAGTTCTGGAAGCTGGGAGTTTGAGATGAGTGCCAGCATCTAGTTGTATCCTCATGTGGCAGAGAGAGGGTATCAGGGTAGTGTTACCTCATACAGAATGAATTAGAAAATATTCCCTTCTCTTCAAGTTTTTTGAAGAGTTTTTGTCAAATTAGTATAATTTCTTCTTAAAATGTTTAGTAGAATTCACCAGTTAAGCCTGGAGTGTTCTTTGTGGAAATGACCTTAACTAAATTTGCCATTTCTTTAATATATACAGAAATAATCAGATTGTCTGTTTTTTCTTGAGTGAACTTTGGTAGTTTGTGTCTTTCAAGGCATTTGCCCACTTCATATAAGATGTCAAATTATTATTGGAAAAATATTTTTCAAAATATTTCCTTATTATTATTTGAATATCTATGGTGATATCATCCCTTTCATTTCTAATATTGGTAATTTGTCCTTTCTATTTTTTTCCACTAATAAATCTGGCTAAAGATTTATCAACATTATTGATAATATTCTTCTCGAAGAACTAGCTTCATTGATTTTATCTATTTTTTGCTTTCTATTTTATTGATTTCTGCTTTTATCTTTATCATTTTATCTGTATTATTTTCTTTCTTATGCTTATTTTTTAA